AGATAGATAGATAGATAGATAGATAGATAGATAGATAGATAGATAGACAGACAAACAGAGAAGACTTTAAGGCCAGATCTGAAGATCTGACTCTATGCCAAATCCTACTCTGGGAAACAGGTTAAATTTCAGTAAGTCTCTATAGTAAATGCCCTGGTTTTGTTAATTACATTGGGAGTTCCATTGCTTCTATGGAGCCCAACTGGAAGTACTGAGACGTAAAGAGGAAAAAGTAGTGAATTATGACGACAGTCTCTTCATACAGTGGGGCACCTAACTCGTTGCTCTACAACTTCATCCTGTTCACTGCTCATGTGGCTACAGGCCCTACACATCCAGTCTCCAGCATGTGTGTCTCATTCTGGAAAAACTTCTCTACATGATGTCCACCGGCCATACTTCATGAGGATGAAAAAGCTGCACTCCTCTGGAACATACATGGCTTTTTAAAACCACATTTGGATGGGCAAAGTTCTTTCTAAGACCAGCCTATACTCACAGGATGGGGGAGAGAACTCCCATCTTTATAGGAAGAGCATTGATAAATAGTGACTTATTTAATCCACCAAGTATGCTCCATCCAGGCTCTTTCCCTCTGATGTCTGAATTTTTAAATCAGAGAGGCATGGGATTAGTTTATTTGGAAGTGGATTGGTTAGGAGACTTATTTCAAAGCAGTTGCAAAATATTTTACATTAATATGTAGTACATTTACTCATTGTTATATAAATGTGTACTTTCCTAATGAGTTCCAGTTTTTAATATCTCCTGATAAGGCTATTTGCCACTTATAGATAATATTCTGTTCGTGTGTTAGAAACTTTTTGGTCCCCACTCAATAGTGTTTAGAGATAGGATATTTCAAAGGTGATTAGGTTATTAAGGTTCTGGCCTGCAGGATATATTGTTATAGTCACAAAAGTGAACTTTGTTACAAAAATTGAGTTCACATCTCACTCCTGCCCTCTGCTGCACTTTCCTTCACTAAGAAGGTACCAACTCAGAGCCAGCACTGTGATCTGCTGTGATGCTTCCTCCACCAAGAGCCAGAGCATTTTCATTCTCTATCAAAGACCCAGTCTCTTATATTCTGAGATGCAACATAAGTGCACCAAAATGTGTTATCAGTGGAATGTCTGTCAGTTTTGAGATTCCTCTATAAATGCCTCTTATAACACTTTCGCAGGTATATGTTTTATATACTTTTTTCCAAGCCTGAAGTTGGTCTTTTGCTCTGTTAAGTATTTTTCAAGGAAAAAAAAAGTAATGTAGTTCAATTTATCAACATTTTCTTCCCAAAGATGGTGCTTTTGCCTTTGTATCTAAAACATCCTTGCCTAACCTAAGGTTTTTTTAAATAATTTATTTAATGTTTAAATAATAAATTATTATTTAATAATTTATTTATTTATTAAATTTTTATTTTATGTGCATTAGGGTAAAGGTGTCAGATCTGTTACAGAGAGTTGTGAGCTGCCATGTGGGTGCTGGGACTTGAACCTGGGTCCTTTGAAAGAGCAGTTGGCGCTCTTAACCAGTGAGCCATCTCTCCAGCCCTAACCGGAGGTTTTAAAGATTTCCCCTGTCGCTTCTTTAAGTTTTAAGTTCTAGATAGTAAATACAGGTCTATGATCCACTTTCATTTGTTTGTATAAAATCTGTAATATGGATTGCACTTTGTTTCTGTACATGAATTTTCAGTTGTTTTAATGTCCTTGTCAAAAGGATTACAGAGCTCATTTACCTGAATTGTTTTATTGGGGGCTGGGAGAGTGATGGTAATAATTGCTGGGCAGTGCTAAAAATGTTCCCATTCCAACTTGGCACCAGGCCTTGAATTTCCACCTGACCCCAAACAGTAGTCAAGTAAGTAGGTTCTGTCACAGAGACAATCTGACCATGGTGCTCACTAGGTGTGCTATGGTGACTGTTTGACATTTTGGGTAAAAAATGAGGGACAGAAGAAAGAATAGAAGCATGGATGGATGGAGGGATGGATGGATGGATAAATGAATCAAAGGATGGTCAGATATACAGGTGGACTGATGTATGGTGAGAGGAATTGTAGACGGATGGGTGTGTGGAAGGAGGAAGGCAGAATGATGGGGGTTCAGTGGAAAGGTCTGAGGTTAGATGGATGGTGGAAAGAGGACGGGAAGATCACGGTGCTAGAAGCACAGCTGCGCGGAGGTAAGGCAGGGTAAAGCCCATCCATCCACACTGACCTGACGCTCTGGCGCCCCACAGGGAGTTTCCTGGTGCCCTACATCATCATGCTCATCGTGGAGGGGATGCCACTCTTGTACCTGGAGCTGGCCGTGGGGCAGCGCATGCGGCAGGGCAGTATCGGGGCCTGGAGGACCATCAGCCCCTACCTCAGTGGTGTCGGTATGTGGCGTCCTTTTCAGTTCCCCTGGCAGACTCGTGTTCCTGGGCATGAATCTGGAATTGAGGTTTCAGGTTGCCCTCCATGCCCAGGGCCCGAGACTGGGTGGACTGACAGCCCAGGGAAACTCCCACCTCTGAGCCTCTCTCTCGACCTTAGCTGAGATTCTGTCAACGGTTTGACATTGCTTCCTGACACAGGAACATTCAGTTCAGCCACCTACGATCTGAGAATTACAACTGTCCCTGCTTAATGTGCCTGATGCTGAACACGGCATGTGAGCATGTGAGCTCATTTCATCCCCACCACACCACTTAGGAGCTTTGGGGCACTGTCGGCGATGCTTGTGTGCAGAAGCCAAGGCACACCAGGCATGGCCCACTGCACCCTTCCAGAGTGACTTTCAGTCACTGTCCCCTGCCACCTCCAGGATGTGATTCTCCTGGATCCATGGCCATCAGTGGCCATAGATGTTCTGTGTGACTTCGTGCTCCAGAAAAGGGAGCTGGTAGGAAGGCTGAACAGTAATTCAGAAATGGAGAAGGGTCGATTTTATGTGACCTGGTGCAGCTTTAGAAGAAATGTGTCAGGGGCATTAGGGGTCATCTTCAAACTGCCTGCTCACTGTGAATAGCTTGAAGGCTATCACAGAGTATGCTGAGGCAGCAACCTTTGTTGTACATTGGAGGGACAGTGGAGGCTGGCCTCCCGGGCACTGACACCCACTAACTGGTCAGAGCTCTCAGTAAGACGGAGAGAAGTGCTGTGTAATGACATAGATACTGGTATAGTCCACGATGCTCAAGGTCAACAACGTATAGCTGTCCTGGTTACATGTGAGATGGCAAAGACTGGGGACAGTTCTCCTGAGGGCCAGTATGAGTAGACTTTAGAGTAACCTAAGAGCAAACTTTCCCTTTGTTCACAGTGCTACTGAGGGACCCTCATAGGTCAGACCAGATGGGAGGCAGGGGTTGTCCCCTCCGTATCTCTCACTCCTGTCAGATGGACAGGGTTGGCTTCAGTGACTTAACCTCCAAAAGGAGCAAGTATTATATCAGACATGTAGTTGGCACTTCTCCATAGCTCTCCTTGGTAGTTTGGGGCAAGCTGTTAGCTTCAGTTTGCTCTTCAAAATGAGGATAATACTGTTGAAAGAACCGAAGGCACACAAAGTACTGAACCAGGGCCTGACACTTAGATGTCAGAAAACTGTCATTAGTCTCCTATCTCCAATGATCAGAGGTTAGGGGAGTAACTCCAAGGGAGAGGTCATAGGTATAATATCAGGTCTAATGAAAACCTGAAGAAAAAATGTCCTTGTCTTAGATGTCGCCATGTTCTGTTGTTCAAGTGCCACTGTTAACTCCCAGACATCCAGTCTTTAGCAGAGGCCTCTGCTTGCTCACAGGTGTTGCCAGTGTGGTGGTCTCTTTCTTCCTCTCCATGTACTACAATGTCATCAATGCCTGGGGCTTCTGGTACCTCTTCCACTCCTTCCAGGTGAGCCTACATCTGGCCAAAGCAAAACCAAAAAGGGTAGAAAATTTGTGGCCACTCACCAGGTGGGGAGTTGGTTGAGGATGGGAATGCCAGCCTGCAGGAGCCCTCTCAGTGAACGGGAGAGAGTGGGGACACCAGAACCTGATCCGCCATCTGTCACAATATAAAACCATGCCACTGTGTGTATGTGCACATTTCTGGGGAGCAAGTCCACAACTCTCATTGGAATATCTACAGGAAATGTCCTGAAAATATTACAAACCATCTCATGACAGACTCAGGAGAAAATCTGTGGCAAGGACTTTCAGGGATGACTTCACTATTCCAGTAAGTCTGAAATGGTTATTCATTCTCTTGTCCTGTCCCTGTCTCTTCCCCCTTGCCATTGCCATTTGTCCTTCCATCATTCTGACTCTAGGCTGACCCTGAAGATACCAAAAGTTCACCCAGAAGGGACAATGCTACTCTTTAACATAAGAATTATTTTCAGTGACAAACATTTTGAACAGTGCATTATCCAAATTCTTGTCTCTGATACTCTAGAAGGGTCTAGGTATTGTGAAAAATAAATAGAAAGACTGCAGTCCCACAGTGGGAGTTTGTACAAAGATAAGGAATCTCCCTCTCCACCACTCATGTTCTATTCTCCCTGTCATCAACCTTGTCACAATCAGTGGCTCTGATCCCACTGCCCTACCTCTCCTTCTAGCAACTGCCTCCATCTCAGCCTTCTCACAGATGGAAAAAAATGAAAAGGCTCTAGGAAATACCACTTTAATATCCATGTATTTCATATTTCACAGGATGGTGGACTTCCCCTTACCCCCGCATTGAGCCCGATTCCAAGGTCACAGAAAAATGACATAGCAGACTTTCACTTATACTTGCTAGGGGCCAGCATGTCCCTGGTACATATAAGTCTACACTCACACACTCCTCACCTCTGAGAGGAGCTGTGAGTAAAAGTAACTTTTATTCTCCTGGGCATTTTAACTGGGACAGTAATAGTGAGACTTTGTTGCAGAAAGAACTCAGGTGAAGACTGAAGGAGCCAAAGGATGAGAAGGAGCCAGAAGATTAGAAAAGATTGCTGATTAGTTGAAGGCCAAACAGAGCAATTCAGGGGCCAAGAGAAAATCCAGATTGAATAAGTCATCTGGGAAAGGAGTTTGAGCCAGAACAGCTGAGTTGAACCAGCCAGCTATGAGGTCAGTAAGAACTAGGAAGGGTGAACTTATTCAGCAGCAAGACTCATAGGCTGAAAATGTTGTAGGCCTCGGTTAGATTGTAAGGGGGCAGTAAGCCTCTGAGATAACAACTGAAACAGATGAATAAAAGTTCCCTTTACAGAGAGCTTTTGTCTAATTCTACAAGCTACTCTGCAGGACTCAATTTCATGGTAGGGGGGTGGGGGGGCTTCTCAGCAGGCAGCCATGGAGATATAGGGACCCTATCTTTACCTTCTGATGCAGATGAGGGGAGAGGACTGTAAATTTCTCAGTTGTTCCATTGAACCAGTTCTTACATGCCCTAGAGCTTCTTCATGTATATTGGCAGGAACATTAAAAAACCTGATGTTCCCAAGCAAAAGATCCCTGAGATCCTGGGTACAGCTGAGGTGGTTTCAGGCTTGCAGCCAAATATGTGAAACAGGATGGGTTAGAGTGGCCTCAGTGGAGGGTCCAGAGAATGGACTACACATTCTGCTGGCTCAGCAAGGCAACTGAGCTTCAGTCTGTAAGGGCTTTGGTTACTTGGCTGCTGGTTTTCACCAACATCTCCTTCCTGTGTCCTCTGCCTCCAAACAGACTCATCATTCCAAGAATCTCCTCTGAGTACCTTCACAGCTTGAATTTTTGCTTTTTTAATCTTATTTTATGTGTATGGGTGCTTTGTCTGTATGTACATCTGCATGCTACATGCTTGCCTGGTGCCTGCAGAGGCCAGGAGAGAGGGTTAGGCCCCCCGACTAGAGTTACAGATGGTTGTGAGCCATCACATAGGTGCTGAGACTTTAACCTGGGTCCTCTGGAAGAACAGCCAGTGAGACATCTCCCCAGCCCTACAACTGGTTTTGAATAGAGCCAAAAGGTAGCTACAAGGACCCTGAAGGCCTAGGCCAGGAAGCCTCCACTCCACTGTACTCTGTTGTTCAAAGCAAACAGGCTAGCCCATACCTACAGGACAAGTTTAGCCCATATGCACAGGACAAGGGATAAAGCCTCCTGTCAAAGCCACTTCCTACCATCCTACCCAGACCTTGGCCTTCCCCTTACCTCTCCATTGATTCTCACTTTATTCCAAAGGATCCCCTGCCATGGTCTGTCTGTCCACTGAATGGTAACCGCACAGGCTATGAGGAGGAGTGTGAGAAGGCCTCATCGACACAGTACTTCTGGTACAGGAAAACACTCAACATCTCACCGTCCATCCAGGAGAATGGAGGGCTGCAGTGGGAGCCAGCGCTGTGCCTTATCCTGGCCTGGCTGATGGTGTATCTGTGCATCCTGAGAGGCACCGAGTCAACTGGCAAGGTAGGCTGGGGAGCATGATGGTGCTGCACCTGGCTGGGTGGATGAAAACTGTCATAACACTGGCCTTGGTCAATGCCAGGGGCTGCCTCCTGAGGTCCAGAAGTAGAGGCTTGCTGGATCAGAAGGCATGGATGATGTTATTGGCACATTCCTCTCCTAGCTGACAGTGAAGGTTGTCAGAAGTGGATGAACTTGTAACACTGAATCTGAAGTGAGAGGCCCCAACCAGCTCTCAAACTCAGCTATACCAGGGCTTTTTATGGAGAGCTTTAAACATCTGACAATTCAGTCCTTCCCCCTCAAATGCCAAAGCTACTATTCTGGGGAGAGACCTCAACATGGACAGATGAGCTAACTTCCAGTAAGCTTATTGTACGGTTGGATTTGGGGTCCCATCTCAAAGTACTTTCAGTGACTTCAGTAACACATAGAACTGTTGAATTATTCTTCCTTGGTTTATATTTTGCTTTGTTGATGTGTAGTTTCGGATTTAATTTTTATATTGGTTTTTATTTTGAAGGTTTCTCCTTATTTAGTCAAGGCTGGCCTGAAATTCACTATTCACAGCCCAAACTGGCCTCAGACTCATAGTGATCCTCCTGTCTCAGTCTTCTGAGTGCTAGGATTACAGATGTACCACAATGCCTGGCTTAGGCCTTTTATCTGCCTAAGACCTTGATTCCTGTCAGATGCCCAGGCTTCTACTCCTCTTAGAGCTAATGTATCTGCCATGTTTCTATCACCTTCACCTGTCTCAGGCTGGAATGAATGCTCTGTATTCAAATACTCTGCAAAGCGAATCCATAGTTGGCCACATGCCCACAGTGGCCTTCAGAGTACATATAGGATGACAGCCCCCAAAAGGCTGAGCTACGTAGAGTGATCTACCCAAGATCACAGCCAGAGACAACAGAGTCAGGACAGAGCCCACCTTTACTCCAAGGACTTCCCATCATATTGGGGACATGCCCCGTGTCTTTTGTGACTTAATCACTTCTGATCTTCTTCTGAGAATCCCATGAGCCCCTATTTCTTACTCCCCTGATCACATGAGCTACCTTCTTCTAGCACTGACATGGTTTTATGAGGCTTAAAGCTCAGAACAACATATGCCATTCAGATATTATGTGACAACCCCAGTGTTGTTCCTGATGTGACTTTGTACATTGGTTTCTTAGTCCCGATGGTGGCCAGCATCTTAGCCCCAAAGCGCTTGCCCACAGCTGGGCAGCAGAATCAGGGAGCCCAGGTACTCTTTCTCAACTGAGCTCAGACTTCACAGCAACTGCTCTGTCCCAACCTAGGCTGAGCATGGTCCAAAGATCTGTGCCCTTCAAGATTAAATGTCGCGACCGGCCTTTGCCGATAAGGACGACGCAACAACCGAGGATTTCTTCAGCGGCAAGTTTATTGTACAGCTCTTTCTTGCAGATGGTGAAGGACCCAAACCCCTGGCAGCGCCCCGTTTAAATAGCCAGCAAGGCGACCTGTCCGTCTGTAATTGGTGCTCTGCTCAAGTCCTCATCAGTATATGGCTGGCAATTGGATTGCAGCCTAAACCCTCATCAACATAAAGCTGCGCATGCGTAAATCGCGAAGCAATGCTGACAAGAAGCGCGAAAATGCTGGCAAGAAGAACCAGGAAGCAGGAAGCCAGCGCCATCTTGTAATGGCGGGAGCGGCTCCCGACATCTCCCCCTTTTATATATATTAAAGGCCATCTCAATCAGAAAAATAACACACCATGAGGTTACCGATCAGCCTGCTGAGCCAACAGCATCAGCGATCAAGGAGTTTACACAGTGTAAGAGACCCTCTGCACCTTGAGTCCCGTGCAATGGGAACCTGAGCCCTGGGAGGTGCAGAAATCTGTCTTGAACAGCATCCTGGTGCAATGGGAACCTGTGCCCGTCAGGAGTGCTACAAGTTCGGACAGTGTCTCAACGACTGAGCATGTTAAGCCAAACTTGGGGGGATGTCCCCTGTTCCACAGCCAGCATTGCCCGCACCATGGCCACATTTTTGAAATGTTGTTGTCTTTTGAATCTGCAGAGCAACCAAAAACAGAGAAACAGTCCAGCCAGTAGCAACACTCCAAATATTCCCACGCCAACCCACTCCTTAAAATAGGAAAAGGCAGAAGATAGACATTGGCAAATAAGGTAGTCCCAGAGAGTCATTAGTGGAATCTCCTGGGTCTCCACCTCCAAGCTCGTCAGCAGTCTGTTCAACATCAGGATCAGGATCAAAGTTAGGGTCAGGTTCATCTTGCTTCACCACCCGGGTCAATTGCGCCGGAACCCAAATTGGATTTTCTTGGTCCTGTGGGAAAATACACACAGCTCCCCTGGATCTTATTAAAATAGGATCCGGTCCTTTAATGATTATCAATGTTGCCGGAGTAGGTGCATCGTAACACAGCCCATACATCTAGAGTGGAGCATAGCACCTGTACTTGATGGCTAGTGTAAGGAGTAATAAGAGCAGAGAGCACAGCTGCTGCCAAGCCTTGATTTGTTACCGGTATTTGTTCATATACTTCAGGTGGGTATAAGGTCTGATTAACTACCCACTGGCCTTGTCCAGTAAGCATATCATAATTCCATTGAGGCCGTTGATTGGCTATATTCTGATTAGCTTGAGCTGAGCACAGCTCGTGAAAGATGGACTTCCAGTCTAAATATTGCCCCAGAGTCAGACAGGCTCTTACAGTATTGTACCAATCGTCTGGAGTCATGGCATTGTCAGCCAGTCTTTCTATCAGTGCCACTGTAAAGGAGGCACTGACGCCATATGTCTGGACTGCTTCCGCTAATGCCTTCAACTGTTTAAGATCTAAAGGAGAATGATGTCTATTATTCTGAGCGTCCTCCCAGATTGGGAACGTGGTTTTAATCCGCTTCCTCTCTTTTTCTGATATCAGGGAAAATTTTGTCTCTGCAGATTTGGGTTTTTCAGTGGCTGACTTCCGCATGGAGAACCCGGAAGTGCCAGCATAGGCCACATATGGTGGCGGATCCGGGCGGTAACGCCCTTCCTCATATTTAGCTGCTTCCTCATCTAACTCTGCCTGCTCGTCAGGGTCGAGCCCTGACTCCTCATCAGTTTGTTGATTCTCAGAAGAGCTGTTTTCGCTCTCTGTAGACTCCAGCTCGCTCAATGACGAGGCGACTTTCAAATTCTGAAACTCCGCTAAACTGGGATACAGCGGGGCACCACTCTTCTTTTCCTTGCTACCAGTCTGTTTTGGTTTCTTTGACTTCTTAACTAGCTTTCGCGCCTTCGGCGCTTTAGCCTTATCTTCTTTGGTCCCATCCTTAGGGGATTTACCGGTCTTAATTCCCTTTTCTGCTTCGGATAGACTGTCTTGATGATCTGCCAACACCCTCTGCCCTTCTTTCACTTTGTCTTTGCATTTCTCATCTTTCAAACATGATTTAATCAATTTGTAGATAGGAAAAGTCCCTGGCCTCAATGTTCCCTTCTCTTTCTCTTCTTCTAAGTCATGGCCTAACTTGTCCCAACAACCTGTAGTCAGGTCGCCCAATATTTGAAACCATGGAGCCACCCAATCCACTTCCTTAATAAAATTACGGAGCACATACCTCGAAATTTTCAAATCCTTCTCCTTAAGTAATACGTGCACCGCTTCTAAAAACGGCTTTACTGGATGATTTCCCATGCTTCCTTTATCTACAGGAGTGGGAAGGACGGCTCAGTTATCTACCTGAGGCTTACAATCCGTTAAGGTTGATCACAGGGTGGAAAAACACACACTTTATCTCGTTTCCCGCAATTAAGGCACAGACAGCAAAACAAAATGTAAATGAAACAGCAGGCAACAAACAATCCGCCCCACATCCAATCAATCATACCTTGCAGAAAAGTACCGCGGTTCTCACGCCACTGACTTTGAATCCTTACTCGACGAGCAGTCGGGGTCCTTCGAAGCGATCCTCCACTCCGGGGTTCGGCGGCTCCCGGGTTTCGGCACCACTTGTCGCGACCGGCCTTTGCCGATAAGGACGACGCAACAACCGAGGATTTCTTCAGCGGCAAGTTTATTGTACAGCTCTTTCTTGCAGATGGTGAAGGACCCAAACCCCTGGCAGTGCCCCGTTTAAATAGCCAGCAAGGCGACCTGTCCGTCTGTAATTGGTGCTCTGCTCGAGTCCTCATCAGTATATGGCTGACAATTGGATTGCAGCCTAAACCCTCATCAACATAAAGCTGCGCATGCGTAAATCGGGAAGCAATGCTGACAAGAAGCGCGAAAATGCTGGCAAGAAGAACCAGGAAGCAGGAAGCCGGCGCCATCTTGTAATGGCGGGAGCAGCTCCCGACAATTAAAGCAGACCTTTCCTGTCCAGGCCTCTTATAATTGTGGAATTCAGCATTGCCTGGACATGATGACATCAATCCTCACCATCTATTTTCTCTGCTCATGCTATGACACCCTGCCTGACAGAAATGCCCTAGCAGCTCCATATATAGGGCACTGGGCTTGTTAAAGATACTGTCTTTTCCTTTTCGGTTGAATTATCTTTTATTCTTCTCTGAATTTTTACTTATAGGACAGAAGTTATTTCTGCTGAAAGGTTAGGCTGGATCACAAGTCCAGCCATCCCTCCCATGGGCAAAGAAAGTAGCCATTTTGGTGAGGACTCCAGAAAGCAGGCCCACTGGTTAGGGGAAGAAAATTCAAGAGCTTTTCTGAGTGTCCTCTAAGCGCCCAGTGTTATGGACCTAGATCAATCCTCCCCCATGTCCCTGAATTTCTCTCACATCACTGGATCCTGATGATCCTTATCCATTTGCATCTCTATCTGGTTTGATGTATTAGATACTTGGGGGTGTTTATTAGTCCCCTAAATGTCGAAGAAGCCATAGTAAACACGTATCCCACGTTCTGTCCGGAGTCCCTCTGACAGTCTTAGAAATTCATGAATTATGGTGCCACCAAGGAGGAAATGAAAGACAGCATAATTAAAATACATCAAGATGGGTCATCAGCTGTGTTTCTTAAAAGAAGATTGGTAAACTAAAAACAACCTTGCCAAAAACAAAACAAACAAACAAAAAAGGATGTTTTGCTTTACCAGCGAATCTATGATATACATAAGAATCAATTTACACAAAATTTCCCACTCAGGCTAGGTAGACATGCACCTCAAACTCCTTTCTTTGAAGCTTTTCAAAAGTCAGGGTGACCCCAAGTCTGATCTGCCCCTCCCAAAGCAACCAAGAACACATTCTTAAATTATGAAGCATGTCAATAGAGGACAAGATCTTTTATGAAAGATGCCACAAATTCCATCAGTCCTACCTATTGTGTTTGTTGTGGGGACTTTGTTCCATGCCCTGCTTTCCACCTATGGGCATGCCTGGCCAGGTCTCTCAGATCCCATCCTGGAAAGCTGGCTTTGCCCAAGCCACTGGATTAACTTCTCTTTTAGATATAGCATAGATCTTGTAAATGATTGGTCTTCCTGCTTTTCTTAGGGTCCCAGAATGCTCAGAGCCAAATTTGGCTCAAATACTGAACAAAGAGACTCACATATGTTATGCAGGCTTTTCTAGCATTTTTTTTAGAGACTGCAGGGCTGGAAGGGTGTGGAAAGAAGAACCCTGAGTACCTAATCCACTGAAGAAGAAATTTCATGTTGGCAACAGATATGGGCAGCCATGTCCACACTTCCTTCCTCTAGACCATACTCAGACCCTGTATCCTAATCAGGACTGGTGCATCTGCAGCTCTCAGCAGTTGGGGGTGGGGATGGTTGTCTGCCCTGCCATCCCTACCACTCCAGCAGTTTTCTTCCGTTTCTGGATGCCCGCAGGTGGTCTACTTCACTGCATTGATGCCTTACTGTGTGCTTATTATCTACTTGGTCCGTGGCCTTACACTCCATGGAGCCTCCAATGGCCTGATGTACATGTTCACACCAAAGGTATGGGCTACAAGGGAAGGGGACTGTCTCTTCCTACGATGCATGGGAGGAAAGAGGAAGGGTGTAAGATTTGTAATCAGCAGGGCTGGTGTGAGTCCACGATTGGGCCAAACTATGGGTGTCCTGGGGGACTAGACTTCCTCCTGAACTGTGCATTCTAGATATTAAATCCTCTGTCCATCTCCTCCTGCTGCCCTCAATACCCCTAATGAGTAGTGCCTATGCCTTCATTCTGGCCTTCCTATTCCAGGTTTAACCCAAAGCCCATACTTTGTACTATGCTGGGGGCCACAGGCATCATTCCAAGTCATCTCCCTTATCTGTTCTTTGTCTGTATTTTCTTAGACCCTTTTCCTCTAGGTTGTCATGATTCCCTCTTTAACTCTTTCCTTCCCAGTCACCATAGCCAGCATTCTTAAGCGGAATGCTGCATTTGTAGCGGGGCACATTCTTTCTTGACAAATCCCAAAGCTGGGCATGGTGGAGCCCACCTTTAATCCCAGCACTTGGGAGGCAGAGGCAGGCAGATTTCTGTGAGTTTGAGACCAGCCTGGTCTACAAAGTGAGATCTAGGACAGCCAGGGGTACACACAGAGAAACCCTGTCTCAAAAAAAAAAATTAAAAAACAAATCTTGTGGTTGAAAACAGATGATTGTAGCACCCTTCAAGCACACCCTTATTCCAAATGCCTTAAGTGTCAGTGCTGGTGCCTCAGGCTGGACTCCACATCCAGACCATATCACCTCAATGTCTATGTATTGACAAGTGTGATGCCTGACTAGAGAATCAGAGATTCCATGTGTTTTTCACTATTAGCCCACACATGGGTAGGGTGTTAGGAAGATTGCTGAGTATTTTGCCCGCCGGGGAATGCACTGGAGACAGTCCAGGACAGAGACCTGGGCTTTAGCCCCAGGCCATCCTGACTGCCTGTGTATTAGATGTAATTTCTTCTCATCTCTGAGCCTTCCTCTTCTGGGAAGAAGAGTTTGCAAATAGAGTCCAGAATTTCTCAGTCCTGTCCTTACTGGCCTTCTAGATGGAGCAGCTAGCCAACCCCAAGGCCTGGATCAATGCAGCCACACAGATCTTCTTCTCACTGGGCTTGGGTTTTGGCAGCCTGATTGCTTTTGCCAGCTACAATGAACCTTCCAACAACTGCCAGAAGCATGCCATCATTGTATCCATCATCAACAGCTCCACCTCCATATTTGCCAGCATTGTGACCTTCTCCATCTATGGCTTCAAGGCTACCTTCAACTATGAAAACTGCTTAAACAAGTGAGTCTAAGCTGCCCTCAGAGTCTTGAGCCTCAAGTGGGAAGGTAAGGCTCCAAAGCTCCGAGCTAAAAGGGTGACTGGGAAGGGCTAGGTTCCCAGAAATCAAGGGGTAGACAAAAGACACCAACCAGAGTTGGGGTCTACACTGTGAAGTTCAGTTCTCTTTCCTCAATTACCAATGCCTGCCTTCCATCGGCACCAGAAACTGAGTGGGCATAAAGTTAAGGTCAGCCATGCAGCCATACCCTTTAGTAGAAAAGCAGCAAACAATGCCGCTGTCTTCAGCCCCATTTCCCATCTTAAGAGTAACCAAGACCTCCCTAGCCAAGTCTCAGAAACTACACAGTTTACTGCCTATGGCTTCTCTCAAACTGAGGGCCATCTTTCAGATGCTAAGTTGTCCAGTAGGGTGGTCACTTACCATAAGTAGCTATCTCTACACTAGGACTAAAATTAATGGAGTCAGTGTACATGCAAATAACTTAATTTTTACAGTGATATAAAATTAAGCTTAAGAGATCTAATACAGATGTAGTGGTGCATGCCTTTAATCTCACCATTGTGATTGCAAGGCAGGTAGATCTCTGAATTTGAAACCAGCCCGGTCGACATAACAAGTTCACGATCAGCCAAGGCTGCAGAGTGAGGCCCTATCTGAAAACAAGTAAATATATTGAAGTCTTTCTAAGTTTATTTCTAAGCAGTTATTCAATGATATTAGCCCCTTTTGAGTGCTATCACCATCAATGGGTACTAATCTAGTTATGGAGCATAGAACACTTCCACTGTCTCACCCAGGTCCATCAGACACCTCTTATTCAGATGTTAAACAGCTGTTAGGAGGTAGTTTCTGTCCTTATCTCTGTTCAGATCTGAGGCTTCTTCACAGACATCCAGAGTTGCTCTTCCTTCAAAGAGTGTCTGGAGGGCCCCTCCCCACTGGGCAGGAGGGAAGAGGATACCTGGAGGGCAGCCCTGTGCCCACATTCTTCCCAGGTTTTGGAGCCTCTTAGTCATGAATGTCAAGATGATGATGGTCTGCTCTCCAGGGTGATCCTGCTGCTGACCAATTCTTTCGACCTTGAAGATGGCTTTCTGACAGCCAGCAACCTAGAGGAGGTGAAGGACTACCTGGCCTCTACCTACCCAAACAAGTACAGTGAAGTGTTCCCGAACATTAGAAACTGCAGCCTGGAATCAGAGCTAAACACGGTAAGAGGCCTGGGGAGGGTGGGGACTGTCTCTCTCCAAACAGCTCCTAAGGACCTGCAAGAGCCTCCACACGGTCCATGACGACAGGAAACAGGATTTTGTTCCTGCAACTGCGAAAGCAGAGACTGGACTCCTGCTCTCCAGCTGCTGCTAGCAATCTTCTCATTGGAAAGCTCTCCTACAGCCTGAGTTTTTCCCTCCTTTCCCTCCTCTCTTTGCAAGTTTCAAAAACTTAGAAACGGCAGAGGATAAGGTCTGCCTTATCACATGGTCTCAGGGTTACTATTACTATATTGAACCATCATGACCAAAGCAACTTGGGAAGGAAAGGTTTACTTGGCTTCCACTTCTATAGTACTGTTCATTGTGGAAGGAGGTCTGGGCAGGAACTCAAACAGGGCAGGAACCTGGAGGCAGGAGCTGATGCAGAGACCATGGAGGGGTGCTGCTTCCTGGCATAGTAATCATAGCTTGCTCAACCTGCTTTTTTCTAAAACCCAGGACCACCAGCCCAGGGATGGCCCCACCCACAATGGGCTGGGCCCTCCCCCAGCAATCACTAACTAAGGAAATGTCCCACCACTGGATCTCATGGAGGTGTTTTCTCAGTTGAGGATCCCTCCTTTCAGATAACTCTAGCTTGTCAAGTTGACATAAAACTATCCAGCACACAAACACTGACATTTCCATTTCTCAAATGAACACTGAAGACCTTCTGTCATTTAATGTGTAGATTTTTTTATATAAAGCAAACAAAAGTTTTAAGGACACAATTAAAGGTCCCTGAATTTAATATTAAGTTTTCCCTACTTATGGTAGATAAAATTGTTACATTTTTGTGCCCCTGTATACATTCTTTTAAAAATTTATTTGTAGTTTAAAAATATAAATATATGTATTTATATTGACATAATATTCATGTATACTTATGGTGGGCCTTATGCTGATTTGATACAACTCTGAAACACATAGCAACCAAACCAGTGCCATTAGCATTTCTGTCCCCTCAGACAGTAATGATTTTTTTTTACTTTTATAGTTTGGTTGGTTGGTTGGGTTTCTCTAGACAGGGTTTTTCTGTGTATCCCTGGTATTGGCTTGAAAAAGCTATTGTCTTTTTTCAAAAGACTGACAGAACATAATAGGGAAATTTAAAAAAATCATATATTTGCAACTATATGATTTCTGTCAAGTATGCCAAGAGAATATATTGCAGAAAGGATAGTCTTCTTAGTAAATGGTGCTAGATCCCCATGTCTTCATGCTGTATAAAAAGTCAGCTCAAAGCTATAAAAAAGACTGAGAGGAAAAGGAGACACACTCGAAGATACTGGTTTGTGTGAGGATATTATGGGATAAAACTCAAATGGCAACAGAAGTAAAAACAAGTAGGATTATATCAAAGAAAGAACTTTCTGTGTAACAAAAACAGTCAATAGCATGAAGAAAACATTTGGACACACACACATACACAGAGTAGGAGGGAAGACTTAAAGGATACTGTTTTGTTAGCAGCTGTAGATACATATTTAAGTATTCCTGGAAGATAATGTTTCCCATTCAAGAGTTTCATTCTGAGACCTGTCCATTATAATACACTTGGAACTTCACCCACTCATTTTAAGTGCTGTATTTATTTCAACACAAAAACCATACTATGCTATTTTGTTTATTCCCTGCTAATAGCTGTGTGGGTGTTTTTCTAATTTTCACTTTGAAAGCATACTTTCTGTTTGTGATCTATGAGACTTATGGGCCTTGTGAATGAACTTACTTTTGTAGTGCTGGGGATCAAGTCCAGGGCCTTGCATCTGCTAAACTAGTTGTGTCATTTTTCTTGTCAACTGAGAAGTTTCACTGGAGAGAAAATTCCCGAAGGGAATATTTATTAAAATTACATTGATTTTATACTGCAATTTGGGAAGAATGAGTATCTTTTTAATTGAGTGTTTTATACTTTTAACCCTGTAAATAATAGCAATTTTTACAGTTAATATACAAAACAGATTTCATTATGACATTTTAATACATATGTTTCATTGCTTCTTACTCTTATTTGCCTCCTTTCTGTTTCCCCCTCTTCTCTTTATTCCTCCTTTCTTGTAGATTTGAGAGGAAAAGTACATGTTGGAGGTATGAAGAGTAATAGAGGAAATACTATAACATGCAGAAAGAAAAAGAAAAACTTGTTGAAAGCCAAAACAAAACCAATAGTAAAACAGAAAAGTAGTACTTAAAAGTACATATGAAATAAATTATAACAAAAAAACATGATGTCAGGGGTGGCTAAGAGCACTCCAGTCCCAGGGAATCTGACCCTCACAGGCCTAGGCACACACTCGAGGTACATATAGTCATACATGCAGATAAGCACTGATGGACATAACAGTGTAATAAAAAATTATGTCATCAGCAAATCCATTTTTTCTTCTGGGGTGAATGGATTCCCCCCAAGCCCTAAACTGTTGTTGGCCTCCTCTGCGGTGGGTATAGAAGGGTGGCAGGCTGTAACTCAAAACAGGTTAGGCCAGGTTGTCTTCCCTGCTAGGTTCCAACACTGGATCAAGTTCTTCTCAGCCATGGAGGCTGCCACAGATAGTACCTTTGCCTGAACTGCTAGCTACAAGCCTTCCCTGGTGTGCTGTGGGACCACATTTTCTGTGTGTTGTTTTCAGTGTCCTAGGTTCAGGGAGTGGGGATAGGGGCACCCCGTTTGCTGCTGGGTCACTCCCACCAGGATGGGCAGAATTTTTGCATGTGACCCACAGTTCCACTGAACACATTTACCTCTGAGTCAGTTCAGTCCTGATGTTCTTTGTAGTTGTCAGGGTCACTGCTTGCCACATTGGTAGAGGAGATGGGCTCTCTGGGATTTAGAGATTTATTATTAATTTTCTGTTCTTCTGGCTGAGGGCTTTTGTTTGTTTGTTTGTTTGTTTGTTTGTTTGTTTTCTCTGAGGAATGGTTCCATTCACTGTTCCAGCCTGAGAGGAGGCTCACCAGCAAAACAAATCTGCTCTAAGGTTTTTTTTTATTGTTTGTTTGGGTTTTGTTACAGTTCTGTTCCCGTAACCTATACCTCCCCACCTCTTTTCCTGCTGCTCTGGCCAATCCTCTGAGGTAAAGCCTGTCATTGCTTTTGTAACTCTAACATTCAATATTTCTAGATTTTTCTATCTTCTTACTCTCTGTTGTTGACTGTGGCTTTCTCTTGCCATCTCACTCTTCAGTTACAGAGCACTGTCTATTCTCTACCCCTCCATATTCAGCTGTTTGGGGGTGGGTTTTGATTTAGTAACGTGCTTTCTCTCATTCTGTTTGTCAGCTAATTTTCTTCATGAATGTCTTGGCATATCTTCTGTTACATTGCTATTGTGAATACTGTCTTTCTCCTTATTTCTGTCATTGTTTATGTTGGTTGCAAAAGAAACGAAATTTTTTTGAATGTTAATCTTATACCTAGAAACCTTGATAAATTCCCCAACCAATTCTTACATCTACAGATTGCTTCTGTTTTCTTTATAAATTATTCTATTACCTACAGATACAAATTTGCACATATCTTTTTAATATTTGCATCTTAGTCCTTCTGTTGTTTTCAGAATTACTGTTTTTAGGAGGGTCTCAAGCACAATTGTTTTCTGCACTTTGGGGAACACACTGACTAGTTCTTAGATTTAGTATCTGACTGCTTCTAGGAAATACTTTCAAGACGAGGATGGAGGTCCTATGCACTGGTTTATCAGTGAGGTTGGGAGCATTTGGTTGGTTTGGATATTTGTTTCCTGGGTGTACCATTCTGAGTCAGTTCGTGGAGAGACATAATACTTTCTTCCTGTTGCTTGCTGTTCTAGGTAGGGTTAAGAATGCTTTGATGAAACACCATGACACAACAAGTAGGGGAGGAAAGGATTTATTTGGCTCACACTTCTGTATTACTGTTCATCATTGAAGGAAGTCAGGAATTCAAACAAGGTAGAAACTGGAGGCAGGAGTTACTACATTGGCATTAACCTGTGTGTTCTTCCTGGCATGTTCAGCTTTGGCATAGAACCCAGAACCACCAGGCTAGGGATGGTGCCACCCACAACAGGCTGTGCCCCCCCCCCATCGGTAATTAAGAAAATGTCAATCAGCTAGCTCTTACGGAGGCATTTTCTCAATTGAGGCTCCCTCCCCTCAGATAACTCTAGCTTGTGCCAAATTGATATAAACTAGCCAGGACAGTTGCTCAGCCCAGCTGCCTGCCTACAGGGCCTATGGCCTGACCCTTCCTCCCTGAACAGGTCATACATCAAGATCCTCAAACCCAGGCTTCAGGATCTAGATCCCATTTGGACACCTGTGATACCCATTCTGAGCTTTGACATTCAGTTCCCTTGTTTTGTTTCTGGCACTTAGTTTTTCCTCAGTTACTTCTGAGCTTGGCTCTATGTCCAAGAATGATATAATTACTGATTTTTTAGACTGGCTTTCCTCTGTTTCTTCCATTCTCTCTTCTTTTCATCATATTCTCTACTATTTGAAATTTGTACTTTTATGTCTTCTTCCTGAAATCTCATTAATATTTAACTTAATACAGCTTAGTGATAGAGCATCTTCCCTTTCAAACAATGCAAGAACTTTAAAACACTTTCTCTTTTCTTTCTTGTTTTTGTTTTTATAAAGACATAGGAACAATATTAAACTCCTGATCTTAATGCCTTTGCCTCCCAAGTGCTGGGGTTACAGATATATGCCAGACCTGATTCCTTTCTCTGGTTTTAAATATGATTATTATGCAGTTCAGTCCTTATAAACCCGTAACTTACCAAACACTGCATACTTAGGATGTAGGCCCTGAGTTCAGTTCCTACCTCTAGGAATGGATGGACACACACATGCTCCATTATATCTGTTCAAAACATTTATTTGGTGCTCTTTCTTTCTTTTCTTTTTTCTTTTTTTGAGACAAGTTTCTCTGTGTACCCCTGGATATCCTGGAACTCACCCTGTAGACCAGGCTGGCCTAGAACTCAGAGATCCACCTGCCACACCTCCTGAGTGCTGGGGTTAAAGACATGTACCACCACTGCCCAGCAAGATATGATTGTGTTATTTTGTTTTATGTGTATTTTTCCATGTGTATATATATATGCACATGTGCATGCCAGTGTCCATGGAGGTCAGAAGAGGGTGTTTGACCCTGGACCTGGAGTTATAAACATTTGTGAGCCACCATGTGGGTGCTGGAAATTGAACCTAGGTCCTTTGGAAGAGCAACCAGTGTTCTTAACCACCAAGCCACCTCTCCAGTCCCTGGCCCCATTTCTTAAGGAACTATTCCCCAGAGTAAAGTTTTTCAGGCTAACATTTATTTTCTCTCAACACTTTGATAATATTTGCCTTATAATTCTGGTTCAATTGTTGCTGCTGAATTATTTTTATAACTTTATTTTAAATTACACTTGTATGTGTGTATGTGTTCGTGCACACTCATGCATGTGCGTGTACGTGTGATTACCTGTATGTGTATGCCGCTGCTCACGTATGGAGGTCAGAGGGCCACTCTGTGGAATCAGTTCTCTTTTTCGGCCTCTGCATGGGTTGCAGAAACTGACTATAAGTTGCCAGATGGGCACTGCAAGCATCAGCACTGGCTGGACTGTGTCTGCCCTTTTACTTCATACGTGAACAGTTCTTTCTGGGACCTCACTAAATATGTCCCTTTGTCTTTGGCATCTTTGGTAAATTTAGTATGGATGTGTTTTTATTATCTAATCTAGGCCTGAGCCTAAGTAATATTGAACCTGCTAGTTTTATGTATCCATTTTTCTTCTCAGTTTGGGCAAGTCCACATATATTATTTCTTAACTGTTTCTCCTGTTTCTGTCTTTTTTCTTTGAAGATTTTCATTTAGATCTCTGTTAATCTTTTCCTTTCTATTCTGCAGGTCTCATAACTCTGCCTCTTACATATTCTAATCTCCATATTATCATTTTATTTATAGGACTGGTTGGTTTTCTTTCTGCTTTCTTCTAGGTTGTTAAAAGGGAATCAGTGGTGGTTTAATGAGAATGTCCCCACAAGCTCATAGGTTTGAATATTTGGTCCACAGGTGGTGGAAGGATTAAAAGGGGTGGCCTTGAAGGCTGGAGAGATGGCTCAGAGTTCAATTCCCAACAACCATACGGTGGCTCAAAACCATCTATAGTTAGATCTGGTGTCCTCTTCTGGCATGCAGGCAGAACACTGTATAAATAATAAATAAATAAATCTAAAAAAGAAGAAGAAGAAGTGTGGCCTTGTTGGAGGCCATGTGTCACTGAGGATGGGCTTTGAGGTTTGAAGAGCCTGGGCCGTTCTCATTCGTCCTCTCTGCTCCGTGCTTGAGGGTGAGTGTGTAAGGTCTCACTGCTGCTCCAACCAACACTATGCTGCTGCCTGCTGCCTGCTGCCCGCTGCCTGCTGCCTGCTGCTGCCTGCTGCCTGCTGCCTGCTGCCTGCTGCCTGCTGCCTGCTGCTGCCTGCTGCCTGCTGCCTGCTGCCTGCTGCCTGCTGCCTGCTGCTGCCTGCTGCCTGCTGCTGCCTGCTGCCTGCTGCCTGCTGCCTGCTGCCTGCTGCCTGCTGCCAGGCTTCCCCACGATGCTCATGGACGCTAACCCTCTGTAACCATGAGCCCCAAATTAAATGTTTTTCTTTTTATAAATTGCCTTGGATATGGTGCTTTGTCATGACAACAGAAAAGTAAGACAAAAGTTGGTATTAAGGAATGGGCTGTTGCTGGGATAGGCCTGACCATACTGTTTTTGGAGGAATATGGAAGCTATTGGGACATTGTGCCCAGTTAGCTCCCTCTGCCTCCTACTTGGCAGAAAGGGATGTGAGCTCTCAGCTATTGTGTGGACTACTATGCCTGCCTGCCTTCTGCCATACTTCCTCCATAATGGTCATGGATTCTAACCTTGTGCAAACATGAGCCCCAAATTAAGCACTTTCTTTTATGTTGTCCATGGCATTAACAGAAAGGTAAGTAAGACAGAATCTAATAGCAAGTCACTTTTATAGATCTTAATTGGCTTGATTCTGTAGTTGCAAAAAAAAAGGGAAAAAAAAAAAAAAAAAAAAAAAAAAAAAGTTCAGAATGTTCTACCCTCACATGCATAGGCTATACATATAGCAAAAGAAAAGAAAATAATATATAGAAAATGAAAGTGAGGTGGCTGGAGAGGGTTCAGCAGTTAAGAGCACTGGCTGCTCTTCCAGAGGACCCAGCTTCAATTTCCAGCACCTACGTGGCAATTCACATTTGTCTATAACTCTAGTCACAGGGAATTTGACACCCTCATATGGACATGCATGCAGGTAAAACACCAATGTACATAAAATAAATTTTTAAAAAAATGTAAGTAAAATGTAGTGACAGCTCATTGGATAAAATTTCTATTTGCCTTATTTGGTCTTTGTTTTAGACAATTGGCTGTCTGTGGTTTGCTGAAGCTGGGCTGCTGTGCTTGTCCGAGATGCAGCAGCTTGTTATAAAAATTGGAGTCTATTACACATCAAGTTATGTTACAGCTTACTATATGGAAAGACACCATTAGTCCAACTTTAGTGCATTTTTAGGTCAAAACTACATTCAGTTGAATAGAATTTACCCTGAGATATACTTCCCTGTTCACTAATTCTCTTTTTAGCCATATTTAATCAAATATTAACATTATTTTTGTGTTTGTTGGTTGGTTGGTTTGTTGTTAAATTTTAGTCACTTTGTATCCTGGCTTTCCTCCCCCCTCCTCCCAGTCCCACCCAGACTCCCTCTTCTCCCCCTAGTCCACTGATAGGGAAGGACCCCCTCCCCTTCTGTCTGACCCTAGCTTATCAGGTCTCATCAGGGCTGGCTGCATCATCTTCCTCTGCAGCCTAGCAAGGCTACACCCCCTAGGGAGAGGTGATCAAAGAGTCAGCCACTGAGATCATGTCAGAGACAGTCCCTGATCCCCTTTCTAGGGAACCCATTTGGAAACTGAGCAGCCTATGGGGTTCAGCTGAGCAGGGGGTCTAGGTCCTCTCCATGCATGTTTGTTGGTTGAACTATTGTTCTCTACAGGCCCCCCCCCCCGGACCAGGTTTTTGGCTCTGTTGGTCTCCTTGTGGTGCTCCTATCCCCTCCAGGTCTTTCTGTGTCCCCTTCTCCCATAAGATTCCCTGCACTCTGCTCATAGTTTGGCTGTGAGTTTCAGCATCTGCTTTGATACACTGATGGCAGAATCTTTCAGAGGCCCCCTGTGGAAGGCTTCTGTCCTGTTCCCTGTCTTCTCTTCCTTCCGATATCTATCCTGTTTGTCTTTCTGAATGAGGTTTAAGCCTCTTCCCTAGGGTCCTCCTTGTTGTTTAGCTTCTTTAGCACTATAGATTCTAGTATGTTTATCCTATATTATATGGCTAATATCCACTTATAAGTGAACATACATCATATGTGTCTTTCTGCTTCTGGGTTACCTCACTCAGGATGATTTTCTCCAGTTCCATCCATTTGCCTGAAAATTTCATGATTTCCTTGTTTTTAATTGCTGAGTAGTATTCCATTTGTGTAAATGTACTGTAATTCCTGTATCCACTTTTCAGTTGAGGGACATCTAGGTTGTTTCCAGATTCTGGCTATTATGAATAAAGCGGCTATGAACATAATTGAGCAAATGTCCTTGCTACATGTTTGAGCATTTTTCAGACATATGCCTAGGAGTGGTATAGCTGGATCTTCCTAATTTTCTAAGAAAGCACCAGATTGATTTCCAAAGTGGTTGTACAAAGTTACATTCTCACCAGCAGTGGAGGAGGGCTCCTCTAAGGGATGACACATTCTTTAGAGTGAGTCTCTAGAGTGTGTGTCATCCCTTGAGTTTTTTATCTTAGCCATTCTGATTGGTGTGAGGTGGAATATCAGGGTCATTTTGGTTTGCATTTCCTTTACTGTTTCTCTGCCATTCGATACTCCTCTGTTGAGAATCCTCTGTTTAGCTCTGTACACCATTTTTTAACTGGATTGCTTGGTTTGTTGGTATTTAACTTCTTGAGTTCTTTATATATTCTGGATATTAGCCCTCTGTCAGATGTAGGGTTGGTGAAGATGGGTATTAACATTATATTGACTTTTTAACCCAATAATTATATTTATTATTAAAGACACTATTTTTTCAAAGTTAATTAATTATTTCAGTTGGTGTTTATGACATGGTGCTTCAGTGGTAGCCATAGGCATAGAAGTGAGATCAGACCATTCCAGAAGGGAGTATTTTAACACCGACATTGCTTGGAATCAATGACTCCTGGTAATAATAATGAAATCATTGCTTTGTAATATTTTAATATTCATTAAAAATTTTCCACAAGTGTTACCATATCCTTATCTGTTCCTCAGCTTGACTGTTCTGGCTGTGCTTATGCCATTGAGCTTACCTATATTTTTATATTAGTTAATGCAGAATTTTTGTTGCTGTAACTGAATACCTAACAAGAAGAAACTAATGTGGGTGGGGGTTTATTTTGCTTCCCAGAGTGAGAGGGTACAATCTATCATAATAGAGAAGGATTTCAAAGTTCATGACAATAGAAACATGAGGCCGAGACTCTTAAATATTGATGAAAAAGAAAGCAAAGAACAGAAGGCGATAAAACATCAAGAGAGTTACCAATGAACTACTTTCTCCAGTCAGAGTACAACCCCTAAAAATGACACACATTTCTATCAAGGTGCATGCCTTTAATCTCAGCACTCCAGAGGGAGGAGGAGGCTGATCACTGTAAGTTCAAGGCCAACAGAATCTACAAAGTGCTGCCAGGGCTGTTATACAGAGAAACCCTGTCTCAAAAAACACAAAAACAACAACAAAAAAGCTATACACATTCCAAAGTCAACAGACAAGCACATACTGTTCAAACACATTCAAAATATTACATTCCAACTTTTGTCACCCTTGGATCAGGTCTGTAATTTGTGTCTTAATTACTCTCAGGCTGTCCAGGGCACAGGCCTGGCCTTCATCGTCTACACTGAGGCCATCAAAAACATGGAGGTGTCACAGCTGTGGTCAGTGCTCTACTTCTTCATGCTGCTCATGCTGGGGATGGGAAGCATGCTTGGAAATACAGCGGCCATCCTCACCCCTCTGACTGACAGCAAGCTCATCTCCAGCTACCTGCCCAAGGAGGCCATTTCAGGTCAGAACTCCATGCAGAGGAGGCAGGGCATGGGTGGGATGGGAAATGCTAGACAACCAGTAGAGGCTTTACCTCAGGAGTCATGTGCTTCCAAGCCAACTCCAGAAGGGCTGCAGGAGTCTAGCTGTGCTTCTGCTACTGTGTGCTGCTCAACTCTGGGAGATGGACTAAGAATTCACCACAGCCCAGGAAAGTGAGGAGTCAGCCTGCCCTTGAGGAAAGGCTAACTCCCCAGCCTGCACTCAAAGGTCTCCAGGCTGTGAGAGGCTATGTCTGTTTTTGTTTGAATTGAAGGCTATCAACCATCAACTGTCCGTTTCCTAAAGTGAGTGTAAGGCCTGTTGGCACATCAGGAGGAGCTCCTTCCACACACTCCAGGCAATAAGCACCCAACCAGAACAGACCACCCTGTTCTGACTTCTAATGCTACTAGTTTTTGTCTCTGCTCTTGAAAGTCTCTAAAAAGACACTCTAGGCCAGCCACCGGCACTCAAAACCTGTCAGTGAGCTGCAGTATCTGCTGTTAGCAGCAAATGTCAGTCCCTGCTCCTGACTGATACATCACTGTGAGGGCAATACCGCTTCTTCATACATTTTGACTGAGCTTGTCAGTGAGGCGCTAGCCTTTCCCATGTTGGCTATCCATTAACATCACTGTCATCCTGCCCAACCACGGCATGAGGGCTCTGTAGCCAGCTACCCTGCCTCTGATGAGTCCATAACTCCACATCCAGGATAGGTAGAGCACCGCTCCATTCAACCTTCATGTTCTGACCACCCACCAGCAGCTACCCCCTCTTTACTCAGAACCTCCTAGACTTGGCATTCTTCCTGGGACTGGGTCTCTGCAGCCCCCATGCTTTTTCTACAGGCTCACATCCCCTGCACAGCAGCTCCTACAACTCATGTGGATGAACCTCCCCTCCACAGAACTCTTAGGGACCTGTGGCTCCTGCTGCCATATAACCTGGGATGAGAGTAGGGAGACTCAGAGATGAGCAGTGGTCCTGTGTTCCAGGTCTGGTGTGCCTCGTCAACTGTGCCATCGGCATGCTGTTCACCATGGAGGCTGGGAACTACTGGTTTGACATATTCAATGACTATGCAGCCACGCTGTCCCTGCTGCTCATTGTGCTGGTGGAGACCATAGCTGTGTGCTATGTGTATGGGCTCAAGAGGTAAGGAGACCCCAGACCTTGCCTTCTATATGGGGCAGATAAGCTGCAGGGCCACACTCATGGGAGAGTCATCTTTCCTCAGTGGGCATACCATTTTAGATACCAGAACTGCCAGGCTGTTCTTTGTCCTCAGATCTCAGCTATCTCTTGCTTCCCCAGTTTGCCTGCAATTAACAGCTGCTTTCGATTACCTGTCTTTCATGTTATATCGTATCATGTTGCCCTGTTGGCCCTGCTGCACTCATGGCTTTCCGGGTGGGGCAGGGACTCTGCCTCCAGGATTCCTTAATCTTCCACCACCATCAGAACTTTTCAAGAGCTCTGACCAGAGTTCATTTAGAAAACAGCTTAAGCTGGGCACGGTGATGCATGCCTTTCATCTCAGCACAGGTGGATCTCTGAGTTCAAGGCCAGCCTAGTCTACAGAATGAGCTTCAGGATGACCAGGCTACACAGTAAAATTCTGTGTCAAAAATCCAAAAGAGGGAGGAAGGGAGGAAGGGAGGAAGGAAGGAAGGAAGGAAGGAAGGAAGGAAGGAAGGAAGGAAAGAAGGAAGGAAGGAAGGAAGGAAGCAGGGAAAGAAACAAACAAACAAGGAAACAGCCTATGAATACGGTCAGCTTTCTACCCTGGTGTCCTGGCCAGCACTGGGGTGTTTTTGGCCTTCCAGGTGATGGAATGTACAAACCTGGGCAACAGCACAGCACATGGGGGGGGGGCAGTCTTGTGAAAACACTGCCTGCAAGAGGTTCTGGTTGAGGAAATCTGTCTGGGTTGAAGTCCTAGAACATAGATGTTCCTTGGCTTTCTGAGGCCTACATGCTTACACCTACTAGTATAGAGTTTGGTTTTTCCCTTCTGCATTAAGCAGTAGCAACAACAAGGAACTCCTGAAAACCTCAGGGCCTCAAGCTACCCAGCCCTGCTGAGTGGGACCATATAAGGGGATTCAGGGGCATACTACTGTGTATTGTTTGAGCGTGATCTGGGTCAAAGAGCTGGGCCCTGCCATCCCTTCCTCTTCCTCAGATTTCCGTGAGGCTGGTTTGGCTTGGGCAGAACCAGCCATGACTCCCTAAAAGGCAGGCTGCCCACTAAAAAGCATCCCTATGGTCTACTGAAGAGCCAGGCTCCATGACATGATGACGCAGCTCCAGCAACCAGCTGTCTCAGTAGTTAAGTGAGGTAAAATGAGGTTGGGGGCTTTCTCCTAGGACTCGCCCAGACATTTTCAGGGAGAAAGGGACTGCTCACAGAGAAGTGTTTCAGAGTAGAAGGGAGTTCAAGAGCAGTCTGACCTTCAGCTCCCTGAAGAGGGAAACAGTTATATCCCAGGAAGTAGTGGAAAGTGATGGGAGGAGGGAGAAACAAAGGGAGCCTTGTCTGTGTTGCAGTCAATGGACAGGAGGAGCCTCTGCTCACTCAGGAGACGTCGCCATCTAGTGGCCTCATGACTGACTCCTCACTGCTGCAGCCTGCTCCCCTCCCTTTCTCTACTCAGAAGTGAATAGGGGAGAAGCAAGAGGTGGACAGCACTTTCTGACCTTTGTCCTGGTGTTTGCCCTGCACATCCATGGTGGGAAGCTTGAGTGCAGTTCGGTCAGCAGTAGGAGGAGCAGGCAGAGCTCTGCACAACCACTACTGGTTTGACATATTCAATGACTATGCAGCCACACTGTCCCTGGACACAACAGGACAGACAGGTACAAGGAAGCAGGTGGTTGTGGCTGCAGCTGTTGACAGTGGTATCTTATCTGGCCTCAGTCCACCTGCCTAGGGAGTGGATTGCAGGGCCCTGGTCAGAGGCTAACAGGCCACCCAGGCTCTAAGAGCCCTGGCCTCCAGCCTCCCCCCGAAAAATAGAGAGGTTGCTTAGGTCCTGAAGTGTTGAAGCGCCTTTAAACAGACACTTAATGAATATCGAGACCTGCACGACTGACCCATCAAGTCCATGGTAAGTTCATAGTTCATACTGCAGTGCTGTTGTTACATGTAGGCAAGAGGCCAAGTAAGAAAAGGAGAAAGCCAGAGTATGGTCAAGATGAGAATGCAGAGGGTGCTCTTTGAGCTGCAGTCTAGAAGTTCTGCTCTTGCGTGCCAAGGCCAGGCCCTTCCCAGCACAAAGTGACTGTTCTGAGACCATCTCTAAGGGCAGTAGAGAATACTTGAACCCATCACTTATAGACAGAGTGGGTGGGCAGAGAAGCAATGTCACCCTAGGCCTCTACACTGAGGGGACTTCCTTCCCCTTCCCTTATGCACCCTGGTCCCACCTTCTCTTGATACTAGCCTCTGGTCCACACCAGTAGCCTTTCTCTGAAGGCCAAGACCAGAGAGATGCCCTATGACCCCTTCCTTATTGGTCACCCCGCCCTCAGGCAGCCTCAGCCCTTTTCTCGTCACCTCAACACCTCCCCCAGGAAAGGAAAGGATCCAGATGGGTTCAGGGTCATGTTCAAACATCATTGAAACCAGAGTAGCATCTTCCTAAGTGCAGAAAGTATGCAAAGTGGAGTCCCTCCTTAAAGAGCACAATTAACTCAGGTTCTCTTCCTGTGGTCCAGATTTGAAAGTGACCTTCAGGCCATGACTGGCCACACCCTCAACTGGTACTGGAAGGCCATGTGGGCGTTTGTGAGCCCACTGCTCATCATTAGCCTCTTTGTCTTCTACCTGAGTGACTATATCTTCATGGGAACGCTGCAGTACCAAGCCTGGGATGCTACTCAGGTACCTGACATCCCTGCAGGGCTGGGGGACACGGCAGAGCCCATGGTGTCATTCAGAGCACACGCCTTCAGTTTTCCAACACAAGGAACCATTGCTATGGTTTGGGGAGGTTACAGATGGTAGCATGAGAACTTCATTGAGATGTTTCTTTCACAGATGCTCAGTTTAGTACAGCAGAACTGGACTGTGAGGTGTCTAACTATGAAGTGTGGAGACAGTAAGAGTCACCTCCACAGCATCCCAGCACACCTTTCCCTACAAGTGCTGGTTCTTCTGGTGTTATGCACTGGATAGATTTAGACAGAGCATTTCCACCACCACAGAGGGTTCCAGTCTATGCTAAAGGTACCTTGTATTTAGGGCCTCAGAGTAAGGTACTCAATAGAGAGTTGCTATTCCATTCTTTTGGAGAGTTTCACATACAACCTCACATACACTTGAAAATGTCAGAATTGTGTTTCTTTATGGAATATAGAGGCTTGTTGTGAATTGCAGAGTCATGTAGTACCACAAGCCTCTTCTCTCCATTCAGCATATTTCCCTTCACAGAAGACTTGGACTGGATAGGAGGGGCCTTCCCCTGATGCTCAGTTTCTTCTCCCAGGGGCAGCTGGTGACCAAGGATTACCCCCCCTACGCTCTTGCCGTCATCGGTTTGCTGGTGGCTTCATCTACCATGTGCATCCCCGTGGTGGCCCTGGGGACTTTCATCAGGAATCGCCTCAAGAGGGGAGGCTCTGCCCCAGTGGCCTAAGAATGGACCCCCCCCCCCCCAGAGACTGAAGTCAGCCACTGCTTCACAGTCACTGCCTGCTGGTGGGAACGCCTTGGTTGGAGTGCTGCTCTGGGGCCCCCTCAGTCTGTGAAGTGAATCAGGGAGCTTAGGCAGAAGACTGCCTTAGGGAGCAGACCACATCCCTTAGGAGGGGCCCTCCATCCTTTGCAAACTGAAGCTCATTCCCTGTCGCCTCCTTGTCATCAAGAGTTAGGGCCAGTATTGAAGATCGTTGTTTCCTTGATTCTAGAAAGTCCTAGAATTTAAGGTAAACTGTCTTTAGAAACTTGACTGTAACTCTAAGGAGCCAAAGAAGCAATTGTCTTTTTTTTCCTTAATCAAAAAATTAAAAATTAAAAAAAATCAAAATACTACAGGGCAACTGCTTTCCAGCCAGTGTCAGAGGTTTTGAAGCATGTAAGGTGATGCGTTAGAATTAATTCCAAATCTTTTAAAGTCACAAAATGTTATTTCTGTGTTCCCTGACTATTTTCTAAAGGCCACCAGGATATAATGGCAACTAAGAGAGAGTTTTGATGGGGCTCCAAAAGAAGTCACCTTTCTCAGAATCCAAGGTTCTTCACAGGGGGCCAGGACCAACCTCTCTACAACTCTAGACTGTACAAGAATTCTGAACAGACACTCCCATCCCTAAGGTTTCAGTGTCAAATGGGTCTAGAAGGATAAAAGTAATTTTAACTTTTCTACAAACATCACTTACAATCACCTTCATTCACCTCTACATAATAATGTTTTCTAAAATGTATATAAACCACACAGAGCAGTTTATAGCTGAAAACACTCCATATTTATGGCTGTTATTCATCCTCGTTGTGAATTTGTCTTTTTCTTTTTTTATCATAATAAAGTGGATCAAAGTTATCTAGACTGAGAGTTCTTCCTGTACTAACAGTCTTTGCTCTGTTGAGCTCATGGGATTAAAGGATTTCTTTGGGTCTATCTATACAGACACCTTTGAAGATGCTTAGGCATCACTTGGAACATCAACCAGAGATGTCTTCTATTTCTGCTTCTTTTCCTCAATAGCAAAAGTAGGCATGAGAAAGGCCTTTTGAGGGGTTGAAGAGAAAGTGTCTGGCTAAATCCTTGCTGTACTTGGAGAGGACCAAAGTTTGGTTCCTAGAATCCATGTTGGAACACCGACAACCTCCAACAACTCCAGGGGATCCAGCACCCTTTTCTGTTCTTGTCACTCACTAGTGCATGTACAGACAAAAACACACACTCATAAGTTAAAATAATATATATAAAGGTAAATACGTGGATAATGATGTCTTTCCCAAAGTGAATCTTTTAGTATAGGCCTGTAACTCATTAAAAAAAAAAATCTTTCACTATCTTAGCTGCCATCTTACCAACACTTCCACTTTTTTCCTAGTTTCAAAATTATCTCTGTCCCTAAGATGTAAGAAGCACACTTATTTACCTAAATGTTTACTCCTGCTTTCTCATCAGATAGCTTTTAGGCTTGAAGAGTGGGCCCAAAACAGAGTCTATCCTGAGTTCCTAAAGTATCTGTCCCCTTTTCTCAACTTCCAGGCATAGTCATTGTCTTTCTGCACTTGTTATGCCTTCCTGGGGACAGTAATGGTCAAGGTCTCAATATCATGTACCCTCGGAGGTAAAAGAAGGTTGTCCTATATCATTATTCTATTACTATTTCAGTGTGCTCAACATCTGTGCCATTCCAAACACCAGGGAGCACTGAAAACTCCCAGTGTCCAAGCTACTGGATCCAGGCAGCATCCATGAGAAAATCTTGGGCATGACACTAAGCTTGCATTGATTTTTAAATTTCTTAGGTGTATCCAATGTGCTATCCAATCTGAGAGCCAGGGCAGAACCTATTTAAGAAGGGAGGAAAGTTCATGTATCTTTAGAAATATCTCTATCCAGGACTTGCAAAAATATTAAATACATTATTGGGCATTTCCAGTTACAAGGGAAGTCACATCTGTAGAACGGCTTTTCTTATGGAAACAGACAGGTGCAGTCTTCTATCATAAAATAATGGTGCTCCTCTGTTTACCACTCTAAAGGCAGTGTAACCTGGGATAACAGAACCTAAAAACGAGGCAAACTAAAGTCTCATGCAATAGCTAACTGTATTCAGAGCATCAGGCAATTTATACCCTGAGGGCTAGGAAAGGTCACATGAGTCAAAGTTTTCACTAGTTCAAGCTGTTTACAATCACAAAGACAAGCCACACATGGCAAAAACATGTTTTTCCATAGAAGCATATAAACAAATAACAACTCAGTTGTACTGAATAATCTGAGGTAAACTCACTCCTATCTACTTCACCTGGGAGGGGCACAAAAACATTCCAAGAAGAGTTCTGGATTTTGAAGAAACTGAGGTCACAGAGTCTTGTTTTCTTGGCATTTTCTCACAAGCACTCAGAATTTTCACATGACTCCATTCTTGGACTGTGTTCCCACACTCCTCCACACACACACTGTGATTACATCCTTCTGAACCCTCTGTAACTGAAGAGCACTCTAAGTTGAAGTTTGTCTGTTACACATGCCTTTCTGACCACCACTGTCAGGGCAGCAGTTCACAAATGATCATCAGAGGCTGTGTGGCCACATCTCCAGAGGGCATCCTGCTTCAGATCACTTCCTTGCAAAATGTTGAAACTCAGACTAGCGCTTCTCCAGAATTCATTTTGCTTTCACATCTCTGTAAAGTCAAAAGGCCCTAAGCTGAACCAGGTCGGTCTGGGAGCTGTCCACAGTACAGTCAAGTGACTGTTTCTCCATGCTGACAGCTTTGCTTTGGTCCCTGTGGATCTCATGTAGAGCAAGACATTTCTCAATAATTCTCTTGAGCTGGTACTAAGTCATATTTCAGACAAAGCCTTTGCTTTTTCTAAGCACAACAGTGGTGATTATGGAATTTTTCCACTTTCCCACCAAAAGGCTGGAGAGAAAAGGGACATTCCATCTTTGTACACTTGACATTAACTATGAGACTTGCTGTTTGTTGCAGAAACACAGCTCCCTTGACTCAGATCTGAAACATAAAATGGGGAGATATTTGATTTTTACCAGTTGTCACTATAGATAAACTCAAAGCAAGTATCTATAGTTGGGCTTTTCCCTCATTTTCTGCTTGAAATTACAGGCCTCTCACTATACAAGACTCCTCCTCACTATGTAATGGACTAATATAGAAAATGAAAAAATATTAAACAGAATTCACATCAAAAACAATAAAAGCGCCATTTGTGGGACCAGTGTGTGCCTGAATTCCCACTGTTTGAGAGGCTGAGCAAAATAAATAATAGCTCTATGAATTCCAGGAGTAGGCTACATAGTGGGAACCTGTTAAAAAAACAAAACAACAACAAAACCCTGTAAAAAGAGACAGGAAGATCATCGTATAATGATAAAGGGTCAATTGTCATTTTTAAAGATAGTTTATTCACACAACAGCTGGAGAATATACATTCTCATCAGCACATTGAACCTCCCCTCAAATAGACCATACCTTAGTGCAGAAAACAACGCTCAACTGATAAAATTGTAATTAGAAGTCAACATGAGCCAGGTGTGGTGTCATAGACCTGTAACCTCACATACTTGAGAGGCTGAAGCAGGAAGACTGGAGACCCCGCTCAGCCTAAGCAAGCAACCTAGTGAGTCCCCATCTCAAAAGGGGGGCTAGAGTGCTGCCCAGGCAGTTAAAAGCTCTGGTTGTTTTTGCAGAGAACCTGGGTTCAGTTTCTAGCACCCAAATAATCCATAACTCCAGATATATATATATCCATGTAGATATAGATATATTTATGAATGATAGCTAGATATAGACATACACCTGTATGAAGGCAAAACACAAAATAAAAATAAATATTTTTTATTAAAGAAAACTGTAACACCAACTAAAAAAGTCCTCCAGGCCTTGCAAACGGCTAAGGAGTTTGGCCTTTCTCATATGGGGAGATTAGAAACTTTGATGATTAATTAACAGTGGACTCACCAGGTTGAGCAAATGGCTGACAATTGCATAACTTTCTTAGTCGGTAGAGCAAAACTATAAAACACTGACAAGAACTATGCCCCCTCCAGAATTCAGGTGAAACATTTGATGGCCATTTGTACCCTCTGTCTGGCAGGCACGGTAACGTTCTCATCCCTTAGCCAGCGCAGCTTCCTGGGAACAGTCAGGACAGCCCAGAGGACTGAGCTTCATCCCCTTTGGTAAGGTGATTGTTAAATGCAATTGTTACTGAGGTCTTAGTGATATGTAAATTATGAATCTGAGCTAATACTCAAAACTCACCATTTCTGATTGCTTGCCACCCTTTAACTGTCAGTTCTGTCTTAAGCCTAGCTGTATCACTGTATGTGCAAGGTAGGAAACCCAACATACTGGTGTCATGTTGCATTTAATGAATTTTATTTGTAGCTCATGATGTGCCATAGTGGGAGTATTTATACTATTGAAATTGACAAGCACATAGATCAGAGTTTTTCTGCAGTTTGTAGCTAAACACCTTCCAGTTCACCATCAGCCTCCAGCAGACACAGCCATATCTTTGTGAGTTTGTTTTTGCAGACACCCTTAACAACAGCCCAAGGAGCCCAGAAATCCTGGAGTTTGAGAAACATGGGACAGAGAAAGGAATGTGGCCAAAGGTCAGTGGGAGGGTATGAAGTGGCCACCTGTGAGGTTGAGGCAGAGAGAGAGGTCAAGCAGGGAAGACCCACACCAGCGCAGGGTAAGGCAGAAGGCTGATTTCAGAGTCCTGGAGACAACAGCAGAAAAAATTAGGGGCTTGGGAACCAGAAGAGAGCACAGGAGTTGCCCATTCTACGCGGAGAGTTGTCTGAGAAGATGGCGTCACCTTCAGCAAATGCGGTCTCCCTGTCAGAGGATGAGGAGCTACATCCCTCGGGAGGCCCTGGATGCTCTGGGAAGCACCCAGGAAGACTGGGGTCAATAGAGTGTGCCCAGCCCGGGGTTGTGGAGAAAGCGCGGCCTCAGTGGGGCAACCCCCTGCAGTTCTTACTCGCCTGCGTCTCCTACGCCGTGGGCCTGGGCAATGTGTGGCGCTTCCCCTACCTGTGCCAGATGTACGGCGGAGGTGAGTGCGGTGAGCATGTCTGAATAACTTCACGTCTAAAACTTTCACCTTCCTGGAATCTGCAGGAAGTATAGGACTGCTGGATGTCACATCCAAAGAGCTGACCCACAATCCAGCAGAGAAGGAAGGTTTGGCCTTTGTGTCCATGGACAGTGCTTTTGCTCTGCTATCGAAAACATCTTTGCCTAACCTTAACTCATAAAGGTTTTCATTGTTCCTTCTCTAAGCTTTTAACCTCTGGGTTGTGCATATGGAGCTACGATCTTCTTCCTTTCTTCCTTTTTTTGTGTATAAAATGTGGTACCAACTAAGACTCATTATATTCAATTGTTTTTTTGACAAAAGGATTGCAGAGCTCGTCTGCTTAAGTTGAGGAAGTGATGGAAATGATTGCTGGGCACAGCTAAAGGGCCCTACACTCCCACCTACGTACAAGCTTTGAGTTTTCTTCTGACCCTGGGCAGCAGATAAATAAGCAGGCTCTGTCACAGAGACAAGCTGGCCACAGAATGCACCTGATTTGCTGTAGTTACTGCTTGATACTTTGGGTTAAAATTAGACTATCTTATGACCTTTGAGTGTTAGAGCATAACTGCAAACAGCTGCAGCAATATGGCCTCTACTGCCAGGTGTCTGCTGAGAGTAAACCACACAGGCCTCAGCCTCCTTTGACATCAAGCTGGTAAAGGGTAAAGACCCAGCTTTTCCCCAGTAAGGAGGGGAGTTAGCCTAGAAAAGCCTCCTGAGTGTGAAGGTGGAGCACACAAAGACAAGCTGGGCAGGCTTGGAGCAAAAAACGTGGGCGTGTGCTGTGCCCTGGCAAGGCTTTCTTCTTTCCCTCATCTGTGGCCACAGAGCGCTGCACAACTCTGTGCTCTCCATTCCACTTCTGGGGTCTGTGGGCCGCCTGAATCCCACAGCTTGATTTAGGAAAGGGCTGTGGATATAACGGAAGTGCCCACGACTGAATAGACTGAGCAATGCAGTAAGAGCAGAGTGTCTTACAGCAGTTTAAGGCGGCACTAGGGTCCCTCTGCAAAGCTGGCTCTGAGACGGTGCTTGTTTCTGGAAGATATTGTGAGAAGAAATGACAGGAAGGCATGGCAGGGGTATCTAAACAGGACGGAAAGGGGGAAGACACCAGGAACCCTATGAAATAGCCAGGTGAATGAAAACTGACAGCCTTGGGGCCACTCCCATCCCAAAGGAATAGAGCTGTTCCTTTCCCTTTCCCTGGGGCTTAGTCTTCTGTCCCTGGGGACTGAGTCCCATGACCCCCTAGATGCCTGGCAGCACCCCAATTACATTTCTTGGCATCTCTCATCCATGATTTGAGAAGTCTATTTAGGGTCATATACCTGACTGGAATTCATGGAGAAGGACTTGAAAGTGGCTGTGACTGTGTGGCCCAGAGGGCCCCTTCCATGTGAGGCACACTCTCCAACCATGACTAGCCTGGCGAGAAACCCAGACAGCGCCCACTAATTTCCTCGGGGAGTAAGGAGAGCAGAGGCCTTGGACTCTGACATGATGATTTGATCTCATCTGGCTACCCATGTGAGAACTAGGGTAGAGGGTTACACCACAACTCCCAAGCCAAGAGACACAGGACGCTCAAGGGAATTTTCAGCAGCCTGGGGCCCAGTGTTATCTTGTCATGGATACATGTAAGTTCTGTACTCTGAGTGCTTAGGGTATTTGCTTACAGACTATTAAGTTGAATGGGGAAAGAAAAACATTTACTTCAGATTGTTTTGAATGGTGGATCTTATAAGATTAGGTATTAGGGTCACAAGATATTAGTCAATTCTAAGAACACATAATATGTTAGGTGTGGTGGTATACACTTTTAAGCCCAGCACTCAGGAGGCAGAGGCAAGCAGATAATCTTGAGTTTGAGGCCAGCCTGGTCTACAGAGTGAGTTCCAGAACAGCCAGGGCTACACAGGGAAACCCTGTCTCAAAACAAACAAAAACCACAGAGAAAGAGACACAGATGCTCTGTGTCAGGAGACCAATCAGCACAATTGGCAGGGGCTCCCCTAGAGCCGCTCCCTTACCATTGGATCTTTTAACTACTGGCCTTAAGGAATGAACACTGACACAATTTTTAAAGTGTATAATGGGAAATAACAGATACAAAATCCAAAAGGATAGAAGGTCTCCACAGCTATGAGCAGATCCTGTTGTGGGTGTTAGAACTACCCGGGCTGGTTTCTTGCTGGGTGAAGTTTAAGAGGCTATTTCAGGCCCATGCATCTCCCAGTACTTCACAGTTTCTTCCAAGTGTTGTCAGTAAGGAAAGCACCTTCAGGAATACTCTTGGAAGCAACACAGGGATGGGTCAGGCATGGCAGAAACCGTTCACTGTTACAGGGTCAAGAGAGTAAGAAGGGGTTAAGCCCTGGGACTCCGAAGAGCAGGGTTTGGGGCACCTAAGGTGACTCTCCTCTAGGTTCTTGGTTTGCATCGTTAACAGGGGTGTAGTATACAGTTCTATTTTCCCACCTGGGAGACCGTCTCCTTAGTCTAGAGATGCTATGATAGGGAAATCTTCAGAGGTTGAAAGATATTGTTACCCAGTAGCCATGAGTGTCCTTACAGATTTCCAACTGTTGTGCTGTAAACACTTTACATTTTTTGGGGGGGACAGAGTTTCTTTGTGTAGCCTTGCTTGTCCTGGAACTAGCTCTATAGACTAGGTTGGCCTCAAACTCACAGAGATCTGCTCTTTTTATATTGATGATCGTTGGGACTATGATCATTCTTCTTCCCAATTAGATACGCCATTCCCATCAGGGATGGCGTTAAGCCCTCTTCATTAGGGATCCACCTGCTCTGTAAATGCCTTCTGTGTAACACACCACTTATGCAGCCTCACAGTTGAATAGTGAGATGTAGTAGGGAACAGGATAGAGACAAATAGCCAGAGCCTGTTGAAAAATGAGCAGAGTTGTTGGCAACAGCAGACACGCCTAATACATTTCAGAAACCTTACTGGCCAGTGTGAAAGAACACGTGAATCTGTTCCAGTTTGGTGACACTAGACTCAGGGCAAAGTCACAGTCATGAAGCTTGCATAACTGGGAGTTATCTCCCTAATGGCCTGCTCATACAGGGACTGTGAGCAACTGCTTGCCAGCCAATGCTGGTAATAGGCTGGTGATTCTAATCATTTTTCTGAGGTTTATGCAAATAGCTATTACCAGAGACTTTCTGAATTGGTAGATGGATATGTCACAAAAGGAGATAAAGCCTAAACTCTGAACTTTTTAGAAGCTATCCATGGTCAATCTTGGTTCCCAGACTCTCCCTAGTACACTCTTGGCCATTTATAATTGCATAACATGTGTGACAGTTGGCCAAAGGAGACCTGCCTGTCTCTGTCTCTCCATCTCTGTAAACTTGTGTGAATTACTCATCACTGGAAACACTTAATCTTGGATTTTGTGATCATGTGAGGATGGAGCAGAGAAGCCACTAATGACACAGCATGTGCTCCATGAACTCAGTAAGTGTGGTGACCAGCACTGTTCCCAGAGCTTGTGTGATTTACATAGAAAGTGACTTTTTATGGCAAATCAGGTGTTTTGAGGAATGATGGCATTAAATATTTTGGATACAAATAGAGCTCTAGGGAACCTGGGTCTGGCTCCCTGTGGCCAGAGACAAAACAGCAATATTGCACTAAGAAAGACTGAAAGAGCAAAGCGGGAGATGTCAGGGACCTGAGCCATGATTAGATGGTCCAGCCTCTTCCAGGGCCTGTACTGGCTGCTGATTGTTGACAAGCTGGAGATGCCCATTAAGATGGACTAGGAAGTGTAGGTAGAAAAAGGGCAATTCTGATCCAAGACTTCTCTTTTTAATTCTATCTCATTGTAGATGAGATAAACTAATAGGTTTTCTCCACCGACAAAATAAATCAATTCAAGCTGAATTAAAGCATAAAGTCAGCTTTATTGGGGGCAGTTCTAAGGCAGGTTCACCAGTCTCAAGGAACCAGGCCAGGGAAATCACAATGCAGACAGGGAGGTGGCTCATAGAGAGAAAGAGTGTGTGTGCACAGAGAGAAAGGGAGAGATCAAAATGTCTAGATTAGATAGGAAAGAGCCTCTTGGGAAGAGGAAGGCCAGCCTCTGGGCTGGAAAGTTCCAGGTAGAGGGTGGGCATGCCATCCACATAACAGGTCAGGACTAAGGAGGGATGCTGGGAGAAACTAGAGGACATGTTAAATAGGCCTCTCACCCACTTGTCCTGGGTCCTTTTGTTGATGAGAAATGAATAATGGATGACACAATCATCTATGACTACTTCCTGCTGACACTGTGGAGTTGTTATTTGTGGGGTGTTGTCCTGGCAGCTTGGGGGGTGAGGGGGGATGATGGAGTCACAATGAGTTACCCAGAAAACAGACTCTGGAGACCAGCATGGGGTGCAGAGCTAGTTTAATGTGGAAGTTCACTGGTATGTATGCATATCTATCTATAGATATATATACACACACATATGTCATCCTATCAGCTAAGGACGCATCGTGCAATCATCCAGTGGGCCCAAATGGCACAGAACCTAAGTCATGTGAGGGTACATGTGAGAAACAGCATGTCCTGGTAGCATGTCTGTGGACAAGAGTGCAGGCTGCAGACAGTGCCCTGGGCTGGGCGCCATTTTGCAGGTCTCCAGTGCACCAGGGTCCCATCATGTGTCTAGTATGCTGAGACTCAGGTCTGCTCAAGCAGCCGCAAGAGCAGTTTGTGCTTCTCACATTCCCCATTTCTTAGAGACACCACCTGGACAGAGACTGCTCCCTCACTTATGGGGGCCCAAAAAGCTGAAATGTTGGCCAAGTCCAGGAAAAGCAGGCTATGTCACTCGCTGCCCAGGCCCTGCATGACCATCTGGGGCTAAGATGTGAAGGCCCAGTTGAAGCAGTTTGTGAGACTCGACCAGACTGCTTGGGACTAGCCACTTTGAAGCTGTCTTGGACTGGTACAAATTTTGAGGAAACACTTGGACTTGGCAACTTGGCAAGGTGCTGGAACATATATATATAGCCTAGATGTCTCTTTTACAATGAGAATCACTTTTTTAGTCTATAATAAAGAAATCTAAAATCTTGAGCTTGTGACTATGATATTAGTGGACCGGTTTATCAAAGTTAGACTAATAATTTACCAGAACTCCACTGATTAATGTTAAATCTTTGAACTTTGTGTTAGGATGTATTTAAAAATATGCCGTGCAATGACATATCTGGCATGAAAGATATTTATTGTATGCAGATGGAAAGAGAGGGAAAAGGAGAGAGAAAAACATGGTGGGAGGAGGAGGCACCCCCGACAGAGAAAGGAGAGAGAAAGAGGGAAAGCGGCAGGTTGGTCCTTTTATAACTTGTACGTGCACAGCTGAACGACATGATGACAGCAGAGGTTTGTAGGCAACCTATATGCAGGCTGCCTATATGCTAACACTTTAAGTCTTAATAGATCAGTAGGATACTGAGGGGAAGAAATCTGAAGCATTTTTTCATTCTTTTTATATACCTTAAATCGCTTTCTTAGATGCTAGAACACTTAGATCCTCATAACTTAAGCATCTGAAGCCTCAGCTCTTACATAAACTTTACACTTTTTCCAATTATTTATTCACCGTGAGACACAGGTGATTGATTACTGGGAGCAATCACTCGGAAAGCAAGTTCTTTAGTTAAAGAATGGGAAAAAGTTACTTCTTTCACTTAGTCTAGTCCTCAAGCCCACCAGAGACCTGAGAAGGATACACTTTATCTGAGTAAGCAAGAAGTGAAGACATGGCAGATGCTTACCTGGTGCCCAGGTTCCTCTGTGGTCAGCTGCCAGGCCCTGACAGACTTCTCTGTGCAGCAAGAACCTGAGAAGCCTGTCCTATCTTTGTCTAGGCAAAGTAAGGAAGTCAGTTCTCCATGTCCAGCCTGTCCACAGTTTGGACAGTGCGCTGTCAGCAACTGAGGCAAAGGGCAGTATTCTGCCCAGTGGTCAGTGTTGCCACCTTTCTAGGAAGCTTCAGATGGAAGTTGTTCTGAACCCATCTCCTTCGGAGGAAGAGATTAGGAGTGCTATCAGGAGCTGGCATGTCTATCACAAAATACTTCTTATTTAACATTTTAAATGTCATATTCTACAGATCTCTGAAGTGCCTGAGAACTATCTGTCTATCTAAATAAACAACTTTGCTTGTTTCCAATAATCTGTCCTAGGCTTAAACTTGAAAACATATACTGGAGGCTAAATAAGGCCATCCCTGTAGGTCTTATTTAAATCCCTTCACAATTTTAAAGACCCTAGCTCTTCTAGGGTCAAAATAAAATTTTTAACTATAGATACAGCTTATAGAGAGACTGGCAACTTTGCTGATCCTGCTGCATCACTGTAACCCATCGGAGTTTTCCGTGTGGCTGAGTTCATCTGAACAGCTAAAGCCTAAAAGACAGAGAAGTTACATAAATTATAGGAAAAATTCTATAGCTGAATAATGTTAGCTAAAATATTTTAAGCCAGTAATTTTTAACCTTTTTAATGTTGTAATCCTTTAAAATTTTTAAAAAATAAGTTTAAAATCCCAGTTGTGTTTTTGTAATATTAAAGTATTTTTTAAGTGAAGACATAGAACCATAATTTTCAGAAGGCAAAACCAAGTTCTAACAATAGTGTAACGTCTTTAAAACCAGTTACAAATTTGGCTATCAGCAAGGTACGTTTACTGCACAAGTCACATCACCAAGGTAACAGGTTTTCTCCACCCATGAAGTAAGCCAGTTCAAGCTCAATTAAGAGTACGAAATCAGCTCAAAAAGTGGACAGCTCTCAGGTAGATTCACGGTTCCCAAGAAAAAAAGGCCAGGAAGTTGCCCTGCAGACAGGAAGATAGAGGTCAAGAAGGAGTCTCTGGGGGAGGGAAAAACCAGCCCATGGGCTGAAAAGTTCAAGGCAGAGGGCAGGGTGTGCCAGCCATACCCTGTCACAGAAAGGGACTGAGAGATGCTGGGAGGACCCTGAGGCCAGGTCTGCTTTGATATATTGAATAGGGACCTCAGCCTCTCGTCCCAAGTCTGAGACTCAATACAAACTAGTTCCAAGATTCTTCCAAAGTCACTACCCAGCTGCCTTCTCAAACACTGAACAGAATCAGACATTAAAACAAACAAACAAAAAACTGTTTGAGTTTGGTTTGGTTTTTGGTTTGTTATTGTTTGGTTTTAGTCAAGAGGAATGGCCCAGGTAAGACAGAGTGTTTCCTTTACAGGAGGCTCTATTTTCACAAAGCCTTCTGTGGCAGTCACTAAAAAAAAAAAAAAAAAAAAAAAAAAAAAAAAAAAAAACAGAACCTGTTAAGTCTTACAAGTTGTCTGCCTCAATTTACAGACACTTGTGAATTGTTTGTGGGGAGAGTTTTCCAAGAAGTTGGTCACCCCCAAGTCTAGACAGGGAGGCAGCAGGTGAGTATAAGAAAGGCAGAGAACCTCACTTATTGCAGAGGGTCACTGCCACTCACCCATGAGTTTTTATAAAGTTTAAAAACTAAAAGGATAGCTTGTCAATCTGTTCCCCAGTCAGGACCCCATACGTAAGACTCGTCTAGATAATTCTATACTAGTTATAAGGAAAAGAAATACTTTGGGTTCAGCCACTTGTCACAGGATTCAACAACCAATCTCCCGTCCGTTGCAAGCCACTGTATTCAGTTTTATAGAGTTTTATTCTCGGCAATTTTGTGTAAATTGTCATATGGTGTTTGAGAACATTAAGAAACTGGCTCTGGAGATGGGATTTGGCCCTTCCACTTCAAACCCAGCCATGTTTGCCTCAAAATATCCTCCAAAGGTCCCTTTCCTGAGGCAGGATAACCATCTGACACTGTGACAAGGGCAAAGAACAACACAACAAAGATTAAAGGCATTATTTCAAAATATAAGCGACTTATGCTCATTCAAAACTGAAAGTGTGGTTGTGGTAGATCTATGTACAGTATGGAGACTGTCTTGTGTTTTTGGGTTTACCTAGGAGTTTGCCAACCTCCACTGTTTAACAGAATGTATTAAAGGTGATGTCATATATGCAGCTTGGATTCAACTTCCTTTATTAACATGGTGGTATACAGCACTGTCTTTCAAGCCTAAACCTTGCCACCTCCTTGCAGAAGATTGTCATACCTAGGTTTGTGACTGTTAATGTGTTATACTATCTCATAAGACAGCTGGATATTTTTCTATAATATGCAAGGTTTTTTTCTATGCCCTCCCTTGCTCTTAATAATGATATGGAGACATTATATTTATTAAAAGCTTCAGCTACCCTACTCTGACAATACTGGCCTGGCCTGCTTCCCAACCATGGGGCTATTACCTGCCATCTTAGTCTTGCCCTGGCTCCTCCTCCTTCATTCATGTCTCTGTGGCAACTCTGCCTCTCTCTTTCTCTCTGGTCCCACCTGGGACTCCCTCACTGGCATCAGAAGTCCTACCTTAACTCTCCAACCTAGTTATTAACTGTTCAGCTCTTTATTTGACCAATCAGAAGGTGATGGAGAGCAATGTTTACAAACTACCAGCACCAGAGATGCTTCATAATGATGACAATGCCAAAGTCCAGACTGCAACCAGATGTCTGGGTACAGAATCAGCAACTGAATACACAATGCACAAAAACATCCTGCAACATTTCTCTAGAATGAAAAAGATGAAAAAGAAAGCAAGAAAGCTTAAGCATGTTACAGAGGTCTGACACATTATATAAGGTTACAAAAGGTCAAAGTTCAATATACTGACACCAAACCTTGAAGAAATGAAGTTACTGGTCTACACTCCATGGCAAATGCAATGACTGACTTAAAGAAAAAAAATATATGTCTAGTCAAAGTTTAAATGTTTAAATGATGCACCTTATTTTGTGGTGCATCTAAGGAGAGTGTCCGGGATCTGAGTCTCACATCAACTTTCTAGCTATAACTGTCTTTTACAGTTCTCTAAGAAACAACAATAGTAAGAGTATGTGTGTGCCTGTGTCTGTGTATCTGTGGGGGGTATGAATTACTACAGTAGCTTACAGACTGTGATCCAGATAGTCTAGTAATGGCTGTCTTCCACTAAAAAAGCCTCAGACCTTTCCACTCGAATCTATTTTTTCTGTCCATTTCTTCTACCTTCTACATGTCCATCCCTTTGTCATCTCTCTATCTTCTATCCGTCCTACCAATCCAACCTCAAATTCATCACTTCAAGCGCCCAGGTCTCTCCATCCGTTCAGGTTTCTGTTCATCCATCCATGGATGACATGCAGCCATGTCAGTTGTTTAAATCTTTGAATATTTGCATCCTGGGAGGCAAACTGCCATTGGCCCCGTTGGAAGGAGGACGGGAAGATCAGGGTGCTAGAAGCACAGCTGCGCGGAGGTAAGGCAGGGTAAAGCCCATCCATCCACACTGACCTGACGCTCTGGCGCCCCACAGGGAGTTTCCTGGTGCCCTACATCATCATGCTCATCGTGGAGGGGATGCCACTCTTGTACCTGGAGCTGGCCGTGGGGCAGCGCATGCGGCAGGGCAGTATCGGGGCCTGGAGGACCATCAGCCCCTACCTCAGTGGTGTCGGTATGTGGCGTCCTTTTCAGTTCCCCTGGCAGACTCGTGTTCCTGGGCATGAATCTGGAATTGAGGTTTCAGGTTGCCCTCCATGCCCAGGGCCCGAGACTGGGTGGACTGACAGCCCAGGGAAACTCCCACCTCTGAGCCTCTCTCTCGACCTTAGCTGAGATTCTGTCAACGGTTTGACATTGCTTCCTGACACAGGAACATTCAGTTCAGCCACCTACGATCTGAGAATTACAACTGTCCCTGCTTAATGTGCCTGATGCTGAACACGGCATGTGAGCATGTGAGCTCATTTCATCCCCACCACACCACTTAGGAGCTTTGGGGCACTGTCGGCGATGCTTGTGTGCAGAAGCCAAGGCACCTATGCCACCTGGGTGGCTTCAATTCCCACCATTCCTTTTCAGAGTGACCTCCGCTTGCTATCCTCTGATACCTCCAAGAAGACATGGATCCCCTCCACTGTAAAATCCATCAATGGCCACAGTTATTCTGAGTACCTTCACAACCTAGAAAGGGAACAATTGTTCAGGAGCAAAGAGGGCCAGCACCTTAGCATAGGAGGGAAAACACTTGAGTCCCTAAGGGGCACTGACACCGGCTCACTGGCCAAATTTCTCTGGGGTGGTGGTGATACTGATGGTATTCCCACCGAGACCAAGGTTAGTGACTTAAAAATAGTCCAGCATACTTGTGAGATGGCAAAAGCTGGGAACAGTGCTGCTAGAGGCCAATGTCAGGCTACTCCAGAGCAAACTGTCAGCACACTGTCTCTCTGTTTACAGAGCTAAGCTTGTCACAAGTCTAAGGCGGTGGGGTTGGTCTCCTCCACATTTCATGCCTCTACTACTCTCCATCCCTCTTAATAACAAAGAAGAGTTTTTGGCCCCAGTGACTCAACCTAGTCTAAAGGGAATAATTGTCCTATCAGGCAGTAGGTGACACTTCTCTCATGAGGTTTATATTCTGGTTCTGTTCAGTGGTCTTTGTCTCTGTTTTCTCTTCTGTGAAACGGGAATAATGCTGTTGTGAAAAATCAAAGGCACATTGTGGTGGTTTGAATGAAAATGTCCCCCATAGGCTCATAGTACCTCATAGGGGGTACTGTTTGAAAGGATTAGGAAAAAGCATATTATTGGCTGTAGCCTTTAGGGTTTCAAAAGCCCAAGACAGTCCAGTGTCTCTCTTCCTAATGTCTTCAAATCCAGGTGTAGAACTTTCAGCTAGCATGTCTGCCTGTGTGCCATAATGCTTTCTGCCAGAACAATACTGAACAATACCTCTGAAACTATGCACAAGCCCCAATTAAATGTATTCTTTTATAAGAGTCACTGTGGTCACAGTGTCTCTTTACAGCAACAGAACACTGACTAAGGCATACATCAAGGACAGAACCTGGGACCTAACACTTAGCTGGGGGAAGAAGCCTTGGAAGTAGGTCACAGATGTGAGGTCATGTTTCTAGTGACCCTGGCGGGGAAGTATTCCTGCCCTGGGTAGTCCCATCAGGGATGCTTACATGATGGGCTACCCACACCTACTTTTACGCATGGCATTCTTACTCTTTTCAGGCATTGCTAGCTTGGTGGTCTCCTTCTTTGTCTCTGTGTACTACAATGTCATCAACTCCTGGGCCATCTGGTACCTCTTCCACTCCTTCCAGGTGAGCAGAGGCCTAGCTATACCAGGAACAATAATGGGAGAGGGTGCAGGCCTCCCCTCTGGGAGGAATGGAAAAGTTTGTGGATTATAACCTGAAGAGAGCCTGGGGGAAAGGCATACTTCAGTTACCCCTGGACTTTTGATCCTGATGTTTCACACTAAAGGGAGAAAAACTGCTCTAAAAACAAAAGAGTTGGGGTCAGTTGGTAATTGTCTAACATCCAGGTCAGAGATGCAAATAAACACTAACTTCCACTAGAAGGCCTGCTTGGAGCCAGGGTCTTAGTGGAATGAGTACCCTAGAGTGCAGCCCTGGTTCCCTGATGTTATATAAAGCAGCCTTGGCCATTAGCTGAGGCCAGTGGGCCCTGGACTGTTTCCTGTGAAATGTGGCCTTGAAGCCAAGAGGTTTCTCAGGCTTGCTTCTATTAGCAGAACCTTTTTGTCCTATAAATATGACCTCAAAACCTACCCAACAAGGCATTTATCTTAGAGTAGGCTTACTCCCATACTATCCACACAACTCTGATCAGTTCCCTTCAGTACCTGAGCCTGGAATTATGATCATTGGGCAGACTTCATTTAAGTCAATTTGCTTTTAGGTTCCAAAGAACCATGTTCAAATCACTGAAAGCAGAGAGGGTTTCAATGCCAAGTTTAGAGTCTAACTGCTAAGTTTGGGTCCTGCTGATCACTGCTCAAACGAAGTCACTAGTGCCAGCATATCTGCCCAGAGGCCTCAATCACTTCAAAGCGCTGGACCTCACCTCCCTTTTGTTCCACACCCAAAGACCATAGGATGAAACATCTGTCTATACTCTTAAGGGTGTCCTAGTGAGTTGACTTGTGGAAGCTGCAAGTGAGCTGACTGTTGCTTTCTGTGGCTTATTCTAAGTTGAGAAGAGAGAATCCATGAAGGTTTTTTTGTTATTGTTGTTGTTATTAAAATTTCTCTAGCAGTGTTTTGCTTGTATGTATATCTGTGTACTACATTCAAGCAGTGCCTGTGGAGGTTAGAAAAAGGTATCAGATCTCCTGTAACTCGACTTACAAATGTTTGTAAGTTCCATATGGGTGCTGGGAATTGAACTTGGGTCCTCTGGAAGAGCAGCCAGCTCTTAACTGCTGAGCCATATCTCCAGATTGAGCATTAACAAGTTCTGACCATCTCAACAATGCTGCAAGGGCTTGGAGTGTAAGCTTCCAGTTAGGGTGCTGCAGCGATGCGGGCAGAGTTCACTTGTTGTAAATGGTCTGTTCATCGTCCAGATACTAGTAACAGCATCTTCTAGACCTATAAGAGAGTGTAGTAGTCCTCAAAAACCATCTGCAGAAGTGAAATAAGTAGCAACCCTTATTAGTCAGCTTCAAGAGCTCAAATATCCTAGATACTAATTTATAAAGAGAAAAGGTTTGTTAACTTGCAACTTGGCCTTTGGTTAAGATAAAGTTTAGCAGAACATCATGGCCTAGAAACATATAGGAGGAAATAGCCACAATGGAACCAGAATATAAATCAAGAGTCCCACACATGGTATATACTCACTCATATAGTCCTATAAGATATGATAAACATAATGAAATCTATACACCTAAAGAAGATAAACAAGAAAGAGGACCCGGGGTAAGATGATCAATTCTCACTTAGAAAGACAAATGGGAGGTGCATTGGATGTAGGAGAAAACAAGTAACAGGACAGGAGCCTACCACAGAGGGCCCCTGAAAGACTCTACCTAGAAGTGTATCAAAGCAGATACTAAGACTCATAACCAAACCTTCAGCAGAGTGCAGGGAATTAAATGAAAGAAGGGGGTGTTAGTATGACGTGGAAAGGATAGGAGCTCCTCAAGGACCAAATATATCTGGGCACAGGGGTCTTTTCTGAGACTGACACTCTACCAAGGACCATGTATGGATATAACCTAGAACCTCTGCTTGGATGTAGCCCGTGATAGCTCAGTAACCAATTGGTTTCCCATAGTAAGGAGAACAGGGACTATTTCTGACAGGAACTCAATGGCAGGCTCTTTGACCTCACCATCCCCCAAGGGAGGAGCAGTCCTGCTAAGCCACAGAGGAGGACTTTGCACCCAGTCCTGAAGATACCTGATAAAACATGGTCAGATGAAAGGGGAGGAGGTCCTCCCCAATCAGTGGACTTGGAAAGAGGCAGGGAGGAGATGAGGGAGGGAGAGAGGGAGGAAGGGAGGGAAAGAGGGATTGGGAGGGAATGAGGGAGTGGGATACAGCTGGGATACAGAGTTAATAAAATGTAACTATTAAAAAAACCTAATAATTAGAATTCCAGGTGGGTGTTGAATGCACCTGGGGTTCAATGTATTATTCATCCTACGTTGGAGTATGATGGAGATTTTGTGTTTCTATTTTCATATATTTATTTTTCAAATAAATTTTACTTTATCCTTGAAAAAAAAAAGACATCGAGAGTCCTTGGCTCCTTGGAAAGCACACTCCAATGACATCTTACTTGGCCCCACCTCCTAAAGATCCATAGCACCTCCCCACCCAGGAGACACAGCCGCTGGGTGTGGACCTTTGGGGAATGTTTAATGTCCAATCCAAACCAGTCATCCTCCATGCCATCCAAATCCCCTGATAACCCAATCCCTTATCAGGATCAAAGGCTGCAACCATTTGCCCTTTGGGGACCAGCCTCTTTCTCTTCCAAGATCTGTCTGCCAAGGCTTCATCCCATCATCCTGCCAGGCCTTGGCCTTCCCCTTACCTCTCCATTGATTCTCACTTTATTCCAAAGGATCCCCTGCCATGGTCTGTCTGTCCACTGAATGGTAACCGCACAGGCTATGAGGAGGAGTGTGAGAAGGCCTCATCGACACAGTACTTCTGGTACAGGAAAACACTCAACATCTCACCGTCCATCCAGGAGAATGGAGGGCTGCAGTGGGAGCCAGCGCTGTGCCTTATCCTGGCCTGGCTGATGGTGTATCTGTGCATCCTGAGAGGCACCGAGTCAACTGGCAAGGTAGGCTGGGGAGCATGATGGTGCTGTGCCAGGATGGATTGAGCCATGGAGAGATGGGTGCCTGTCCTAGCTAGCTTTAACTGTCAACCAGACACAGCCCAGAATCACCTAAGAGAGTCACAGCTGAGGGGTTGCCCAGATCTGATTGACTTGTGGGCAGAAGATTTGATTATTATTATATTCATTTTGATCAGGTTTACTCAACTGATTATTTTATCATCACTTTATAAACATGCTAGTGTCCAAACTCTCTGATTTATATAATATTATGTCAACAAACTGATAATGATCTTTTTAATTGATGTAAGAGGGCCCAGCCCATTGTGGGTGGCAGCACTTCATGGGTAGGTGTTGTATAAGAAAGCTAGCCATGCATAAGCCTGTGAACAAACCAGCAAGCAGTATTTCTTACTGACTTCTGCCTCAGATTCCTTGAGTTCCTGCCCTGACTTCCATCAGGGATGCACTGTGACCTAAGAGCGCCGGCCAAATAAACCCTTACCTCCCCTAAGTTGCTTTTGCTTAAAGTGTTTTGTTTCAACACAAAAAGGACACTAAAATGGTGCCAAAATAAACTATGCTATTCACAGCCGTGAAGAAACAGATGCTATACTGGACTAATGATGTACTTACAGAGGCTGAAGGGAAATTTATAAAGGCAAATATGGGGAGTATTATGTAAGATCTTTAAAAAAACTTTTAAAGTCCTGAGCAGAAGGACTGACAGCAAGGGACACCTTAATCTCAGTCTGAACATAGTTGCTAGGCAGCCCATCTTGACAACTTTCATGGACCTTTTGTTTCTGGTGCCTTGTGGCAGTGATAAATAAGAACCCTTCTTAGTCTCCTGGATTTATTTACTTTTTTATATTAGCGTTAATACAGGTGACTTCATATTTCTCCTGAAAACTATCAGACCCTGTAAAAGAATCTTACTACCTTTTCCAGCTCTTGCCAGCTGTGGGCAAACTCCTAAAACATTTGATCCAAAGATTGTGCCGTGATCCATGCAAACGCCATCTTCCTGATGACATAAGCAGATGCTCGGCTCTATTTCCAAGTTCTCTGGTAGGGATAGCATTAGGCGCCATAAAAAGCTTCCCTGGAATGGGATCTTCTTTTATCTCTTAATTTTTTAGAGCACACAGAATTTATATTACTTTAATTTCAATTTCAATTAAACATTCTGTTAAAACAGTATCTTCATTTCAATGATATATATTGATAATGTTGAGTGAACTTTTTTGCCTAATGTTACATAACTATTTCCTCCAAATTGAGGCTGACCTGCTCCTGGGTTTCCACAGGTGGTCTATTTCACTGCATCAATGCCCTACTTTGTACTCATCATTTACCTGGTTCGAGGCCTCACACTCCATGGAGCCACCAATGGCCTGGCATATATGTTTACACCCAAGGTATGAGCTGCAGGGAAGAAGTCCTAAGGGTGCTGCTTTCTATTTTGGTCCCTTTTGGTATGCCTGGGGAAAAAAATCATCGTATGAGGAAGGAAGAGTTATAACCAAGGAGGATGGTGTGTGCCCAAGGCTCACTCAGGCTGTGGATGCTTTATGGGCTATATGGCTTCCTCAGACAGCTCATTCTCAACCCTGTGACTCCAGAACATAAATCCCCTTTCCATCACCTCCTACACTTTCCCTACCCCTAACAACTGATGCCAGTGCCTCCCTTCTGCCCTTCCTGTTCCAGGTCTCACCCAAAGTCCTGTCTAGATGCTCCACTGAGCTGATCACAAATGCCACTCCGGTCATTTCCCTTATCTGTCTATCTCCAGGCTTCCTTAGACCCTTTCCCTCCAGGTTGCAATGATCCCTTCCTTATCTCTTTTCAGGCCAGTGTTCTTCAATAATGATGAAGGTGAAAAGCAGATGCTGCATGACCTTTTCTGTAAAGACTGAGCTAATTCTGTTTATCCTAGGCAGGGCACCAGCAACACACCAAAGAAACAAGTCTGTCCAAACTTAGCTTAGTGAGCCAGTGAGTTTATTAAGGTTGCTTACAGGGGTGGCTGTATCACAGAAAAGCCCATCCCAGCAAAGCAATGGCTCAAAAGCCACATTCCCAGAGCACCCTGCACAACTTGTCTCTTCTCTCCTGCAGTTACTCTCACTTTAATAATCTTGGGGAGTGGCCTTGTGAATCTGGTACATTTCAGGGGCCTCTTGAGACCTGTCAGTTTCACTTACTTCCTGAATCTTAAGGAGCCCCTCTTTCAGGAAGAAATGTTTTGGTTGGGAGAGAATAGCTATACAACAATCAGTAAGAAAACTTCACACAGGAGACTTTCATGAGGTCTGGTGCTGCACAGCCGGAGAATAACAAACCTAACTCAACCCTGAGCCAAGGACAGAGCCAGAGAAGGGTCTATGTTTGCATCAGTCATGACAGTTTTTGTTGCCACTGAAATACTGTGCTTGCATCAATAACAGATTATAAACCCTAAGGTTGTGAGCTGTAAAAACCTGATTCTAGTTGTGGTATGGCTCAGTCTTTGATCCTAGAGCTTTCTGTTTGCTGTAAACAAGTACTTGTGTGTGCTCAGACCTAGCACACACCTCTGTAAACAGGATTAAATAAAGTTAACCCTAAATCAAGAGACAGAGCAAGGAACCTGCTGACAGACATTAAACAGAAAGGAACAGTGAGTGAAGTGAAGACAGCATGGAGAAACAGAAAGGGCTTTTTCCTTCTGGGCTTGTTGGCTGAGTAGGAAGTTCAACTGGGAGCTTTTTCTGCCTCTCTGAGCTAGCAGGCTTTCACGCTGCATTTGGCTCCTGAGTCTTTGGTAAAATAAAATGATTGGGATTTTTTTTCTTTACAAAAACAGCCTCCCCTGACAAAGGAATAATGTTTTAACAATTTTTACTTTATATGCATTCCCTGCATGTGTCTGTGTGGAGGTGTCAGATCCCCTGACACTGGAGTTACAGACAGTTATGAACTGCCCTGTGAGTGTTGGGAATTGAACCCAGGTCCTCTGGGAAGAGCACCCAGTGCTCTTAACTGCTGAGCCATGTCTCCAGTCTCAACAGGCCACCTTCTTGGCCAATAGGGAAAGTGTTTTTTCTCTGGCATAGATGAAATTGTTGTTAGAATTCAGCCAGGGTTATTATGGAAAACTTTTCATTGGAAGCTGTTTGAAACAGTCAAGGCTTAAAAAAGTGCCTATAGATTAGTGATACGCTTTGGCTGCAAATAGTTTTGAGGCTGTGTAGTGTCCTCAAGGCTTCCTCAGAGGGTACACAGCAGCTGGGCCAGCATGAGGGCAATCTGGCTTGGCTGATAATCTCTGCTGAAGAGAGTGAGGCATTTGGGAAGTGCCTAGTGTCTTTTAAACCAGGAATTACTTTACCTGAGAGTTAGTAATGTGGCTTCACTGCCAAGAAATATGCTGAACATAGACCAGGTCTGGATACCTTGGGAAGTTGGGGAGGTTGGGAGGTAATTTTTCCCCTCTCTGAGCCTACTTCTCTTGGGAGGGGGAGTCTCAGATTGGGACCCAGGTATCCTCAGTCCTGTCCCCATTGGCCTTCCAGATGGAGCATCTAGCTAACCCCAAGGCCTGGATCAATGCAGCCACACAGATCTTCTTCTCACTGGGCTTAGGGTGTGGTGGTCTGATTGCTTTTGCCAGCTACAATGAACCCTCCAACAACTGCCAGAAGCATGCCATCATTGTATCCATCATCAATAGTACTACTGCCATATTTTCCAGTATTGTCACTTTCTCCATCTATGGCTTCAAGGCTACCTTCAACTATGAAAACTGCTTAAACAAGTGAGTCTAAGCTGCCCTCAGAGTCTTGAGCCTCAAGTGGGAAGGTAAGGCTCCAAAGCTCCGAGCTAAAAGGGTGACTGGGAAGGGCTAGGTTCCCAGAAATCAAGGGGTAGACAAAAGACACCAACCAGAGTTGGGGTCTACACTGTGAAGTTCAGTTCTCTTTCCTCAATTACCAATGCCTGCCTTCCATCGGCACCAGAAACTGAGTGGGCATAAAGTTAAGGTCAGCCATGCAGGGAAAAGGCAGTTTAAGGTGCTCATTGCCCTTTAGTAGAAAAGCAGCAAACAATGCCGCTGTCTTCAGCCCCATTTCCCATCTTAAGAGTAACCAAGACCTCCCTAGCCAAGTCTCAGAAACTACACAGTTTACTGCCTATGGCTTCTCTCAAACTGAGGGCCATCTTTCAGATGCTAAGTTGTCCAGTAGGGTGGTCACTTACCATAAGTAGCTATCTCTACACTAGGACTAAAATTAATGGAGTCAGTGTACATGCAAATAACTTGATATTGATATGGACTTAAGTGCTTCTAAGGTTAACTGGTTACTCAGCAGCACTAGCCAGATTCAAGTGATGTTACATTTTTTTCTACCCCATCCAGTTTCATCAGATATCACTGGCCCAGATCCTAAACAGCCTCATTTTAGGTTCAGGGCTCCTGTCCTCATCTCTGCTCAGATCGGAAGCGTCTGCACAGACCCTCACAGTTTCTCTTCCTTTCAAAGGGTCATTAGTTCAGAGCCCCTCTCCTCACTGAGATTCTCAGAGGTGTTAGGACCATTGGCCTCTTAGTCATGAAGGTCAAGATGATGGTCTGCTCTCCAGGGTGATCCTGCTGCTGACCAATTCTTTCGACCTTGAAGATGGCTTTCTGACAGCCAGCAACCTAGAGGAGGTGAAGGACTACCTGGCCTCTACCTACCCAAACAAGTACAGTGAAGTGTTCCCGAACATTAGAAACTGCAGCCTGGAATCAGAGCTAAACACGGTAAGAGGCCTGGGGAGGGTGGGGACTGTCTCTCTCCAAACAGCTCCTAAGGACCTGCAAGAGCCTCCACACGGTCCGTGACGACAGGAAACAGGATTTTGTTCCTGCAACTGCGAAAGCAGAGACTGGACTCCTGCTCTCCAGCTGCTGCTAGCAATCTTCTCATTGGAAAGCTCTCCTGCAGGCTGAGTCAGTCACGTGTCTGGTAATCCTAAGTGATGTCACTGGGTTCCGATTATCAGATGGAGCCTTGTGTGTAATAGAGTTCCTGACTAAACTGTTTTTATATATCTAAATGTCTTTAAAAAAACAAAACAAAACTATGCTTATCCCATTACTCCTTTCATACCCTCCAACTAAATCTGAGGGTATGAAAAATAAATCTATTTTTGTTAGCTTAGATTTCCTAATTATTTCCCGTATCTGTTATGTGTCTTAGTTAACTTTCTTTTGCTGTGAAGAAACACCATGACCAATTTAGACATGAGGTTTATTGAAGCTCACAATTCCACAGAGTTAGAGTCCATGATTATAATGGCAGGGAACATGGTAGCAGGCAGGCATGGCACAGGAGCTGAGAGCTTACATCTTGATCCACAGGCACAAGGCAGAGCGCGAGAGCGAGCACTGAGCAAGCCAGTGCCACAGTGAGCGCACTACACTGACAGGGCTTTTGAAAGCTCAAAGCCTGCCCGCAGCGACACACCTCCAATGAAGCCACATCTCTCAGTTCCTCACAAAGAATTCCACCAACTGGGAACCAAACCTTCAAGTATATGAGCCTATGCGGTTGTTCTAATTAATTCTGTGTTCCCATTTCTCTCCTCCCCTCATGTCAGGGTGTGAGGGAACTGTTCAAAGGCATGTTCTGCCCAAGAGCATGGGGCCAAGCAACCACGACTGACTCCTCATCTGTGAGGCAGAGTAAACCTTCCCTCCCTTCAGTTGTTTTGTCAGTGATTTTGCTCACACTGAGAAAAGTAACTAACACAGAAGTCTCCATAAAAAAAAAAAAAAAAAAAAATAGAAGCAACAAAACATTCACAATGTGCTGGTTTGAAGGAGAATGGCTCTCACAGGCTCACAAAGTTGAATTCTTGGCTTCAGGTGGTTGAACTGCTTGGGTAGAAGGTTTGATCTTGTTGGAAGGGTGTGTTTCTGGGGGCAGGCAGGATTTTGAAGTTTCAAAATCCCATGCCATTCTCAGTTAGCTAAGTCTGCTGAATACTTGTGGATCAAGATGTAAACAGTCAGCTGCTGCTCCAGTGCCATGGTGGCCTGCCTGTTGCCGTGGTTCCTCATGATGGCCGTGGGTTCTAACCCATTGCAGCTGTGAACCCCAGATTAAACACTTTCTTTTATAAGTTGCTTTGGTCACTATGTCTTTTCATGATAAAAAAAAAAGTAAGAAAGAAAAGAAAATGTAACTAAGACATTTTTCAAATTTTTTTAGTTTTGTCATTGTCATTTATTTGTGCTTTAATACAGGCACTTAGAGCTTTTTTTCTCCCATATGACCACTTAATTTTATTCTTTGATTTTTCTTTGAACTATTCACCATTGAGAAATGAGTTATATAATCCCCATGAATTTGTGTACTTACTAGAGACTTGTTTGCTGTCAATGTTAAGTTTTATTATATAATGGTAAGATAAGATATGCAGAGTCCATTCAGGTTTCCTGAATTTGGTGAGATTTGTTTTGTGTCCCAGGATGTGTTCTATTCTAACATTTAATTCTGATGTTTCTTTGCTTATTCTTTGTCCAGATGACCTATCTATTGTAGAAAGTGGGGTACTGAAATCAGCTACTATTAATGGTTTGATGTTATTCTGTCTTTAATTTTAGTATACTTTTTGTGAAACTGAGTATACCTAAGTTTGGTACACATATATTTGGAATAGTAATGTGTTCTTGGTTAATTGTTTACTTAATTAGAATGAAGTGTCCTTCTCTCTTGGCTAGTACTAGTTTGAAGTCTGTTTTGTCAGCTATTAAGATAGCAACACTTGCTGATCCACTCATCGCATTAGACTGGCATGCCTCTTCTCTCCCCATTCTCTCTCCCTGTCCCTTTCATTATTATTTTCATTTTGAGAAGGCTCTCACAGCCCAGCCCATCCTGTACTCATGATCTTCCTGCCTCCATCTTTCAAATGGTAGGAATACAGGCATTCGCTAATCTGGACAACAGTTATTTTTCTTTTAAATGTTTATACCTCATTTCCTTTTCTTCATTGCACTAAAACTCCAACAACAATGGAGGTGGAAATGAAAGTGGGCCTATTTGTGTCATTTTTATGTTTTAAATGCATTCTTAGATTTTCTAAGAGAATACTCTTTAAGAATAGGGGCTAGGAAAGGCCTGTGGCTCTGGTTGCCAAAAAATAACAACAAAAACAATTTGAAAATTGGTTTTGCGTTTGATTGGGTGGGATTTTAGTGACTTCCGTTTAATCTGTGGAGACATTCCAGGTCATTTCATGGGGAAGGCAACACTTTCTTACAGTGGTTCAGACCCAGGCCCTGTATCAGCCCAACGCACAGCACCACAGGCTCAGACTCTAGCCTTCAAGGCCTCAGTCTTCTGTGCTTGCTCACTGTTCTCTCCAAGATTGTTTTTGCTTTTGAAATTTGAGTCTTTGAGACTTCCTTTCCTTCCCTTTACATCCCCCTTTTTGCGTCTCACTTTGAATTTATATTTTATTAATTACATTTCTGGGAAGTGTAGTGCACATGTCCCACAAAGCACGAACGGGAGTCAAAGGATATGCTGAGGACTTGAGCCTTTCTCACCAAGGACTCCAGGGATTGAACTCAGGTTGTCCGGCTTGGTAGCAGAAACCTTTACCCACTAATCTGGCCCAGATTTCTTTTCTGGAGAAACTTCCATGCTAAATGTAAAGTTGGACAATATTTGACTTCCCAAAGAGGACAAGGATAATCTGTACACAATTTATAGCCCACAAGATGGACCTGGTTGTTACTTTATGCAGTTTATACCTGCATGTTTACTATTTTCTTTATCATTTCTTACATTACAGCCTATAGGGTTTGGGGCACCTCCCTTAAAATACCTTCCTTTACAGATGCTTTCTCATCCATACGTACTCTCATGTTTAGATTATATGTAAAATCTATATTTGTATATGTAAATATCTGAATTTGCAAAAAAAAAAAAAAAATTCAAGTTAACAATTGTTTTCTCTCAGCATTACCAGTATTTGCCTTCTGACTTCCATTATTGTTGAAATGCTTTCCTTTTTTGCTAGTAAGCAGTTCTGAGTCCTGTCATGGTCTTCTCTCTGTCTTTGGCCTTCTCAGTGGTATGGATGTAGCTTTATTTATCTAATCTAGGTTTAAATGATGTTTGATGTTCTGATCTATGGAACATGTTTCTTAAAAATTTGGAAAACTCAAACCTTAAGCATATCTCTTACGCATTCCTTCTTATTCCCTTTTTTCTTTCTTTGGGACTTCTTAGAAATTCTATACTATTATATAAGCCGCTTATCTTTTTGTTTGTTTGTTTTTGAGACAGGGTTTTTCTGTGTAGCCTTGACTGTTCTTGACTGTAGAGCAGGCTGGCCTCAAACTCACAGTGAACCATTTGCCTCTGCCTCTCTGAGTGCTGGGATTACAGGTGTGTACTGCTGTGCCCAGCTGCCTCTTATCTTTTGTTATTTTGATCTGCCTTTTCAGTTTGGTTGTATTGACTTTTCTTTGTGCTGATGTAGATTTAATTTCCTAAATTTGTCTTAGACACAACTTAGATAATATGTATCTCCCAATTCACTATTTCTCTCTTCAACAGCATCAAATTTGGTAGTAAACTCTCAAATATTTCGGCAATTTCACATTGTCATTTATAACACTGTTTTCCTTCAATGATGCCCCATTCTATTTACATTTATGGATAATTTTTGTCTCTTTAAACATGTTAGGCTTAGCTGTTACTTTTTTTTTTTTTTTTTCAGGACAGGGGTTCTCTGTGTAGCCCTGGCTGTCCTAGAACTAACTGGCTTTGTACACCGGGCTAGCCTTGAATTCAGAGACCTGGGATTAAAGGTGTGTGATATCACACCCCACAGATATAGCTGTTAAAATGGTAGCCATAGACAGGAAAAGGAGAGCCTGCTCTTTAGAAGACTATTCTACCCCTGACCCTGTTAGAAAGACTGGCTCATGATGTAGAAGCTAGCTCTTTGAAGGCAGTAGGGAAAGGGACCCTAGTTTGCCATTTGTGTTTTAGTGAGAACAGAGGGTGGAGTTAAATAAAGATTAGGGGTTAAGACAGTAAATTCTGGGACATTATGGTGAATAGGAGAGTTTATAGATGGTATGAGATACTGAGGTACAGATAAAAGAAGGGAAGGGCTCTGAGCCAGTGGCAGCAGGTAGGCTGCCCGTTCCAAAGTCCTAAAGGAGCACAGATAAAGCACTATTGTCTTTTCATCTATTCTTGTAATGAACCTAATTACAACTAAGTTACAAGCGCAGATGGCTTCTCACAACAAGATTCCATCTAGGTTGCTTTGACAGTTGACTCTGCCATCGTAAAACTACAAGTTGTCATGAGGATGTGAGAACACAGCTGGGTCTAATTAACAGCACTTGCCATACCTGCAAGGTCAGTCAGCCAACACAAGTACCAATAGCCATTAATAATTGTCTCTGAGGCTTATGGCCTGTCTGCTGACCTAGGCCTGCTCCTAGAAGCTTCCAGCCTCCGTACAATGTAATCTAGGCCAAGGATGTTTTCAGCCTCTGAGACTTACTACTGAATAAGCTCACTATTTCTAGCTTTTTCTAAACTCTTGCTGGCTAGTTCAGCTCAACTGTTGTGGCTCAAACTCCTCACCTAGCTGACTGATTGAAACTGGCTTCTTTCTTGGCTTCTGACCGAATTGTTCTGCTAAGCCTCATACTAACTTTGGCAATTTGTTCTAATCTTCTGGCTCGTTCTCATTCTCTGGCATATCTCTTCAACCTCCCTGGGTAAAAATAGCCTCTGAATTCCATGAACTGACCTACCACAAACTCAACCAAACTGCTCTGTTCAATTCACTAACTCAACAGAACTGCCTCAGCAAAACTGAATAGAATTCAGAGATCTGCATGCCTATGTCTCCTGAGCTCTGGGATTGAAGGTGTGTATCACTATGCCTGGACCTAAGCTTTTCTTTACCTGACTTGCTCTATACCAGGTTGGCCTTGATCAGAGATCTGCTTGCCTCTGTCTCCTGGGATTAAAGGCATGTCTGTATTCTGGCCGATCACACAGACCTAGAAGGTCTTTGGATGAGCTCTCTTGCCAGAGCAGCCATATTCTGAATTAAAATTCCTCAACAAATAGCACAAAGTCAAGGTCAGTAACAATGCTGGAGCTAGAAATGGACATACAGAGGCTTGAACCACTCTTAACTTGGTGGATAGTATATGAATTGCATGATCACCTCCCTGGTTGGACCAGGAGGGCGTGCATATAGTATGTGGACTCCTGGTAGCCCAGAGAATTAACCAGTGTCAACAGACTTTGTCTCCTGCCATTGAATGAGGTAGACAAATAAAAAAGACTGGACAACAGAAATTAAACTGCCTTTTCCTATTGGAAACCCTTTCCACTCTTGAGTTTCTCTCACTTTTCTTTGGTTTCTTTTCTATATTTTGCTTGTTTTTGTTTGTTTTAGTGGCAGGGTTTCTCTGTGTAGCCATGGCTGTCCCATAAACTTGTCTGTAGACAAGGCTGGCCTCAAACTCAAGAGATCTGCCTGTCTCTGACCCCTTTGAGTGCTGGTATTAAGAGCACATGTCATCATGCCTGGCTCTCTGAAATAATTTTTTTCATTAATTATTTACTTTTCATTACGTTGTGATTGGAGCTTCCCCTCCCTCCTCTCTCCCAGTCCCTTCCTCTCACCTACCCTTTCCCTACCCCCTTCCTTTCTCCTTAGAGAAGAGGCCTCCCACGGATATCAGCTCCCCTTGTCTTATCAAGTTGCAGTAGGACTCGGTGTATCTTCTGTTGAGTCTAGACAAGGCAGCCCATTAGGGGAAAGTGACCCAAAGGCAGGCAACAGTCAGAGACAGCCCCTGCTCCCGGCGTTAGGGGTCCCACATGGTGACTAAGCTGTGCATCTGTACATGTGTAGGGGCCTAGGTTCATCCCATGCATGCTCTCTGGTTGATGGTTTAGTATCTGTGAGCTCCTAAGGGCCCAGGTTAGTTGATTCTGTTGGTTTTCTTGTTTTCTTGTAGTGTCCTTGAATTCTCTGGCTCCTTCAATCCTTCCTCCTCTCTTCCACAAGGTTCTCTGAGCACTGCCTAGTGTTTTGCTGTGGGTCTCTGTATCTGTTTCCATCAGCTGCTGGGTGAATCCTCTCAGAGGTAGTTATGCTAGCCTCCTGTCTGCAAGCAGAGGAGAGTATCAGTAATAGTGTCAGGGGTGGGCTCTTTCTCATGGCCTGGGTCTCATGGCTGAAATAATTCTTAATAAAGGTTGCACCTTTAATTCTCATTTGAAAGAGACAATGAACTCAAAGTCACTGCTTCTAGCCAATCTCTATTTTTTTGGTTTTTCAAGACAGGGTTTCTTGCTGTGGCTTTGGCTGTCCTAGACTTGTTTTGTGGACCAGGCTGGCCTCAAACTCACAGTGATCCACCTGTCTCTGCCTCCCTAAATGCTTGGATTACAGGTGTGCACCACAGCACCTGGCCTTCCCACCGATCTTTAATGATTCTGGGTGTCCAGCATCTTAGGACCCTGGGTAAATCCGAATTGTGTGAAAAGGTCTCCTCACTCTCAAAAACTTTGCACAGCAATAGTAGTAAGAATAATATATATATAAAGTTTTAACAGATTTTATTACTTTAAAAATGTAGGCATCCTCATAATCAGTACCGTTGGTGTCATGTTCTTACATTAGCCAATCAGATTACCACAAGATTATCAGAAATTGGGTGGCTAAACCAACAGATGTTTCTCATATTTCTGGAGACTGGTTTCAGATGAAAGTTTGCTTCCAGGATCAGTGAAGTTTCTCTCTCTGTTCTTACTGGACTAGGATTGCACACTTTAAGCCTTACCTAACGGTAGTGACTCCCTCTAAAAGTCTTGTGTGAATGCAGTCACTTTGAGGGTAGAATTTCAACATGAAGAATTCAGTCCTTAGCACTTCTGAATCTGTCATCCTTGAAGGGTGGGACGTCCTAGATGTTCGTCATTCTTGCTCATGGTGGTTCACCCTCCTGTGGCTTTGTAAACTTCTCTGTGTGAATCATTAGCTTAATTTCTAGCAGTTCTGTGGTTGGTCTCTACCCACTCTGGACCCTTCACAGAAGTAGCAGGCTCAGCAGGCCACAAGCACAAGTGTGTGACCACCAAGCAACCCTGCAGGTCACCCTCCCTGCACAGTAGGGCCCACCAAATTTCCTCAGGCATGGCATTGGAAACAAAGATCCAAAAAGAATTATGGAGTATTTTATCTGAAATGTAAGTTGGGGTTGGAAGCCAGATGCAGGGTTGGGGAGGGTTCATCAAATACTATGTATCTGTCTGTCTTTCTCTGCTGTGTGTGTTTGTGTTGGTCAGCTATTTCTAGCCAGTCCTATTGAGCCTCAGAACCAGGGCTGAGGTAAACAACAGGTTCATTATATGCCCAGCCCCAAGGTCCCAGCACTGATCATGTTTGTAAAAAGACTATCAAAGCATGTAACTGCTATCATTTTACCACACTCAGGCCGTCCAGGGCACAGGCCTGGCCTTCATCGTCTACACTGAGGCCATCAAAAACATGGAGGTGTCACAGCTGTGGTCAGTGCTCTACTTCTTCATGCTGCTCATGCTGGGGATGGGAAGCATGGTAGGGACAGGAACAGCGATCCTCACCCCTCTGACTGACAGCAAGCTCATCTCCAGCTACCTGCCCAAGGAGGCCATTTCAGGTCAGAACTCCATGCAGAGGAGGCAGGGCATGGGTGGGATGGGAAATGCTAGACAACCAGTAGAGGCTTTACCTCAGGAGTCATGTGCTTCCAAGCCAACTCCAGAAGGGCTGCAGGAGTCTAGCTGTGCTTCTGCTACTGTGTGCTGCTCAACTCTGGGAGATGGACTAAGAATTCACCACAGCCCAGGAAAGTGAGGAGTCAGCCTGCCCTTGAGGAAAGGCTAACTCCCCAGCCTGCACTCAAAGGTCTCCAGGCTGTGAGAGGCTATGTCTGTTTTTGTTTGAATTGAAGGCTATCAACCATCAACTGTCCGTTTCCTAAAGTGAGTGTAAGGCCTGTTGGCACATCAGGAGGAGCTCCTTCCACACACTCCAGGCAATAAGCACCCAACCAGAACAGACCACCCTGTTCTGACTTCTAATGCTACTAGTTTTTGTCTCTGCTCTTGAAAGTCTCTAAAAAGACACTCTAGGCCAGCCACCGGCACTCAAAACCTGTCAGTGAGCTGCAGTATCTGCTGTTAGCAGCAAATGTCAGTCCCTGCTCCTGACTGATACATCACTGTGAGGGCAATACCGCTTCTTCATACATTTTGACTGAGCTTGTCAGTGAGGCGCTAGCCTTTCCCATGTTGGCTATCCATTAACATCACTGTCATCCTGCCCAACCACGGCATGAGGGCTCTGTAGCCAGCTACCCTGCCTCTGATGAGTCCATAACTCCACATCCAGGATAGGTAGAGCACCGCTCCATTCAACCTTCATGTTCTGACCACCCACCAGCAGCTACCCCCTCTTTACTCAGAACCTCCTAGACTTGGCATTCTTCCTGGGACTGGGTCTCTGCAGCCCCCATGCTTTTTCTACAGGCTCACATCCCCTGCACAGCAGCTCCTACAACTCATGTGGATGAACCTCCCCTCCACAGAACTCTTAGGGACCTGTGGCTCCTGCTGCCATATAACCTGGGATGAGAGTAGGGAGACTCAGAGATGAGCAGTGGTCCTGTGTTCCAGGTCTGGTGTGCCTCGTCAACTGTGCCATCGGCATGCTGTTCACCATGGAGGCTGGGAACTACTGGTTTGACATATTCAATGACTATGCAGCCACGCTGTCCCTGCTGCTCATTGTGCTGGTGGAGACCATAGCTGTGTGCTATGTGTATGGGCTCAAGAGGTAAGGAGACCCCAGACCTTGCCTTCTATATGGGGCAGATAAGCTGCAGGGCCACACTCATGGGAGAGTCATCTTTCCTCAGTGGGCATACCATTTTAGATACCAGAACTGCCAGGCTGTTCTTTGTCCTCAGATCTCAGCTATCTCTTGCTTCCCCAGTTTGCCTGCAATTAACAGCTGCTTTCGATTACCT